TCCCCCTGAAATGAAGCGCTTTATAGAGCAACACCATGTAACGCGCGTAATATCTCAGTTGGAATTTAAGATCTGTGCGTGAACACTGAGTATGTGCGCGCAAACTTTGTGATTTAACTTAAAGTCTTTAATAATATGCAGATATCTATACATTTAAAATTCGGTGATGGTGATAGACCAAACCTCTGTATCTATACATATTAATTGCTAGTTGAGGAATTTTTACTTTTTAGGAATACATTCACTGAATAAAGAATAAGGAGTAATTAAAAAATATGTAAATTTACAAGCTAATTGAGGATTTTGTACATACTCTAGGAATACATTCTAGAAATAAAGAATAAGGAGTAATTAAAGAATATGTAGATTTACATGCTAGTTGAGGATTTTGTACATACTCTAGGAATACATTCTAGAAATAAAGAATAAGGAGTAATTAAAGAATATGTAGATTTACATGCTAGTTGAGGATTTTGTACATACTCTAGGAATACATTCTAGAAATAAAGAATAAGGAGTAATTAAAGAAAATGTAGACATACCGACTTCAGAGAAGATTGTACGGAATGAAAACTGTCTGTTTCCTTATATTCACAATTCCCTGCAACTGTAAACTTGTTTCTTTCTTTGCTAAATCATTATATAATATATAAGCCTTCAGATTACTGTATGCATCTAAGACCGAATAATAATTTAACCTTGGGAACGTCATATTTTCAGAGTTGTCGGTCGTCTTTACAGTCTCTTCCTTTGTGTATAACCCTGTAAAATACATGCTGTTTCAGGACTTTATTTTTACAAGTACATTGAAGAAACAAAGAATAAGGAGTTAATGAAGGCAATAAGGGAATGTAGGGTTGAATTTATTAAATAAATTGGAGGCAATATAAAAGAGTTTCTGGCAACGGAAGGATTTTGAGAAAAATGAATTGATTACTTGCGACAAGCTCTAATTATATAATACTATGATTTTTACAGACGTAACTAGACTAGGCAATTAAGCATTACAAGTTTTGCGTAGTTAATGATAAGCGCATTTAGATTTACAGACAATGTACAACGTAATATGTCTAGGTATGTTCAGGTTAACAAATATAGGGATTACTGTATTTATTACAGTTATATAGGAAGAGGGAGAGAATTGAAGACTAGAAATTTAGATTAAGAAGAAAGAAAGCAAAGGATGAACACTGAACAGATTATATGGGGGTGGGGGTTAAGTAGCGTTATTTATGAATGTATTAATTAATAGAAAATGCTTTAAACATTTTGTTTCACATCCCTGTTTATGTTTAATATATTGTAAACTTACATCATATTGAAAATTCTGAGCAAAAATAAAATTTAAACAAATGTGAATCTTTAAAATAAATTCCAAAGTGACATGATGATAAATTGAAAACAATTTATAAAGTGAACATTGTTGCAGAACAGGGAACACGGGATATTTGTGTTTCAACAACAAACAAAGATGCGCCATTTTAAGGTAAGCTCATTGCTCAAAGATAGTAAATTTCATCAACAACTAAATACTTCAAACGCTTAATATCTTTTCTTAGATGTCGAGCAAAAAAATTGTCAGAAGATGTCAGCCACATTTTTTTAAATCTTGGTTATCCATATTGTGAAATTTTAATATAATAAAAATATATTTGATTATTTAATAAAAAATCATTTTAGTAAAAATTTAATATTATCTCTAAATCTATGTATTTGCTTGTCTGTCCTTCTGTATTTGATAAACATCATAAACAGCTGAACCGAAAACTCAAATAACCCCATCAGGAGAGGTTTAATAAAAGTCAAATTTGAAAAAAGTCTATTGGAAAAATTTCAACATAAATTTTATTGAAAATCTAATAAACAGCAGAATAATCATCGAAAATTTGTGATTTACTAAAATTAATACACAAGTGTGGCGCAAAGCGCCCTAAAAGCCTTGTATTATACAACTGTATGGAACACATAAAAATAGACTGTAAAACCTGATAGATACTTAATTCACAATTGAATCATTTTCTACTTCCTCTGATTCTAAATTGTTTTTCCTTCGGTCCAATTACCGTTATAAGGATAAACGACACTCACGACACAGATTAAATAAATAGATTATTTGATACTACATATAGTGCAACAATTTATAGAGTTCTGTTCTAATCTATTGTTAAAAATATATTTCCTACTCTACTTCAAAGTTAAAAATTTTTTAACACTTTTTTGCTGGTGCAAAAGGGATAATTATAATTTTAAAAAAAACATTATATTAGAACTAAATGCTGATGTGGATTTCAATCGTATGTTTGCTGAAAACCCCTGTACTGACTGAACAATATTTAAGTCATTAGTTGGTGGGAAATAAAACAATTGATTGTATAATTACGTGTCCCTAATATAGACTCAACTCCCCCCCTCCCCCCCCCCACGATCATCCTTCTTTTCCTTTAACGTTGATTTAACGTACAAAAAACTCAAAGAACAAATTTTAGATTTTAGTTCATGAAAGAATAAAAATCAACGAAATATATGTTAATCATCTTTTAATTAGCTAATGTGTCCATTCGCTTTTATCTAACAACTTTTATATGTTCATTAACTTAATATTCTGCAGCATTTTCATTTTTCATACACTTTCATTCGTTTACACTGCTTTTCCCCTTATACAAACTTTCTCATTCCTACAATGAGAACCAGAAAACTGTGGAACAGAAAGACGACATTTTAGGAATCGTATGCGTATTTTCTGTCGAAATACAAGACAGAGAGAGCCTGTTTTACGCCGCCTGCGCGAAACTCCTCTGGGCTTCGGCCTCAGGGTTATTTTGAACGAGTTTCATTCGAATCTAGTGTCCTATCTGATATTTTATTTAATCTATATTGTTCACTTTCAGTACACTGTACAGCTGTATTCTTACGTCACAAGAGTCTACTTAGTTTTTGTGTGATAATTTAAGGATGAAGAGCTTATCTTGCAGTGAAACTTTCTGCGTTTTTTAGTTTCTGTATTTACATTTTTTATTTGATCTTAGAACACATGTCAACTAAAGGGAGAACATTTCGTTTTCTTTGTTATATTTGACACTTGTGACACTTGTAATTGATAATCTATTTGGGTTGCATAGGTATTAGGTATAGAGATTAGAAAATCATCAGAGTTTGAGGCAAAGACTCAAGTCCTAATCACACTTTTAACAAGACTGTTTTGTTTTCAGGTTTTGAGTTTGTATATTCTTCTATTCTCTGGTTTTCCTAGAACTTCAGGTAAAATAACTTTCGTAAAGACCGTTGATTGACCGATTTGCCTCAAATTTTGATTGGGAAACTCGATAGAACCAGGGGAATGTGGTTTTAAATTCTAAACCAATAAGATCGAGCATTAAAGAGCAAATTTAGTTTCCAGGCAAGGCTGGGTGCCAAGATAATATAAATAAAAAGTTAGGAAGGGTTAACATGGTCGTACGCAGAGGCGTATTCAGGCGGAGGGGCTATGGGGGCTAAGCCCCGCCTGGACCAGTGAAATCTATTGGGGGTTTTCAGGCCCCAACGGGTGCTGAGCCCCCCCTGGACCAGTGAAATCTATTGATTTCAGGGGGCTTTCAGGTACAAAGGGTGCTGAGCCCTCCTCCCCTGGAAACGAAAAAATGTAAGCCCCCCTGGACAAATTCCTGAATACGCCCCTGGCCTTACAACTTGAATGTAATCTTTAAATGGTCTAGGCGGATCATTTTTGAAAAAAAAACCTATTTTAATTAGCTTAAGGGACTGGTAAATTAGGGGTCCAATGGTTAAAAGTCAGTTAGCCTTTACTTGGACCTAATTTTTAGCCGTTAAATTAAGATTTTGACTGAACAAATATTGATACTGACATTATTCAAAGAAAAAATATAAGAAATAGATTTGATACTATCTATAGTTATAATGTTATAATCTCTGTTTGTCTGTCTGTCTGTTTGTTTGTTTTTCTGATCACAACTCAGGAACCCATTGACTAATTTGTCTAAAATTTTGATTGTGGAACTCGGGAGAACCACGTAAATGTTCTCAGCCTTTTTGAGATCATAAGTTCAGAGTGTCGACCTTTATAGCGAAAATGTTGTTTCCCGGTTAAATCGATCTAGTGCGGGTAAACGGCGGGATTAGCTATGAGTAACCTGGGCAGCGCCGGGTTCCCAAATTTATGATTCTGTAGTTTTGGGTTTAGACAACCTATAATTTATAGAGTAAGTACGTACATGGATTTGATAAAACAATTAAAATTTGATTTTATGAATTAATTAATTACAGGAATACAACATGAATTGAATATTCTTAAGAAAGTTCCCTAGAACTTATTGAAAAATTTAATCAGAATTTTTTAATGACCAATTATACGTCTTTACAAATATTTAAGACGTGGAAGGGAGGTGGCTTTGTGGGGAGGGGGCTTGAGGGCTTCATGGGGGGGGGAGAAATGTGTGGGCGATCATATAAAAGAAAATTTAATTAGATTGACGTTAATCATTATAATTCAATATTTTTGTGCTTTTCATTTCTGTTTTTGATCAAGAATTGGTTCGTAATAAGTATTACTTGTATGTTTTTGTCCTTTTCCATCATAAAAATATCATTTGGAGCAAAATTATTTGACTATAAGTAATATACACATGCATGTCCATATTGAAATGCTTCTGGCAAAAATAGTATTTGGATTAATTGCACAAGGAAAATTCTAAAATTTCAATTCATGCTTCTTGTCCTTACTGTATATTTTAGGACTGTAGCAGTTGGACACCCAAGTTAACCCTAGTGCATGTATATTATAGGATGGTGGAAGCGGGATACACAAGTTAACCCTAGTGTATATTATAGGACGGTGGAAGCAGGATACACGAGTTAACCCTAGTGTATATTATAGGACGGTGGAAGCGGGATACACAAGTTAACCCTGGAGGATTTGAACCTATTCCTATAGAGCAGGTTCAAGAACACTTCCAAGAGCAGAGAACTGAAGGTCAGTATTTTTCATTTGTAAAACAATTCATTCTAATTAATAAAGGTTTTTAAAAAATTCTGGAAAATGTTATAAAAAATTATCTTTAGAGCTGATAATGTATCAAGTTCTGTAACAGGACAGGAATATAAGAATAAATGGAAAGCTGTACTCATTCTTAATTTTAGATGGATCGTTGAAGCAAGCCAATGGAAAACTTTTCTCAGGTTGTAAAAACAATGTTTGTGTAAATTTTAATGAAAAATTAACATTTTAATGTTAAATCTTTTGAAATGAGCTATTGAACTGTAGATCAATTTTAAAATGAGTTATAGAACTGTAGATCAATTTTGAAATGAGTTATTTAACTGTAGATCAATTTTGAAATGCTTGACTGCATCCTTTGAAAAAACAAAAAATGAGTTTTTTTAGATGAAATACGTCTTCGCTCTCCTTCTCTTTTCCCAGATGAAATTAACACTAAAACATCACCTGAAGACGAACAACTGGTTACAGCTGTAGCTCAAGCAAGAAACCGATTTCAGAGCGCAAGGGCCGATCAGCTGACGAATCCTTTTATCCAATCACAGTTCCCGGCAACAGATTTTGGCGGGTTTTCCAAACCCCCTGCACTCGAATTTGAGCCAGAATTTCCATCTTCCCAGGGAACAAATGCCTTTTTATTTTTTTTCCTTAAAATCAAAATCAATATTTCAAAGATTGTAAACCTAACTGTTGCTCTCACTGTCCGGTTAATACCAAAAAAGTTAGGAATGGAAAGGTTAAATGATACCTCCATTTATTTAAATTTAAAAAAATTTGTTTCCAAACAGGGCTCTCCTGAAACTCCAAGACAGTTCAGATTTCCAAATCCAGAGGAAGAACAGGTACAATGCAAATAGTTTATCTACATCATCAAAAACTATGGTGTAATGTTGAAATTTTAAACATAAAGATGTTTTTATGAAAAGTAAATGTCGAAAAAGATTTGGAGAGAATCTGTGGGGTTTGGATGTTGATGGGTGGGGTTTACATTCTGCAAATCTGTTGGTTGAGATTGGCGTTTCTGCACCTCCTCCATAGTTCTACTCCTTAAAGCATATCTAAAATCTAAATGGATAAATGAACTTCTGTTAAAAATATTGGCTTTATCTATAACATACTTTATTATTCATTAATTTATTTTGCTTGTCTTTACTTTACCACAAATGGTTAACCTAACAATACAACAAATAATTAGCAATTGTGCAGAATTTTTCATGACTTTTATATTGCTAATTGATATATTCTGAAATTCAACCGTAATAAAAGATTTTAAGCAAATGGTAAAGGCAAGTTTTTTTAGGCTAAACAATAAAATTGAAACAGGTCAATCAGATTAATCTATATATAAATTTGGTTGTCTGTCTGTTTGTCTGTTTGGGTGTCTGCTTGTTTGTTTGTACCCAATATACGTCAAAACGGCTGAACCGATCGGGCCCAATTTTTTTGTGTGACATTACGTGACCACAGGGAAGGCTTATGAATGATACAAATTTTTAAAAAATGTGTTTTAAAGGTTTTTAATTTTGTAAAAAAAAATTAAATTCTTGAAAATCCGCGAATTTTTTTTTTTTTTAAATCCGCAAAATTTCTTTCCTCTTTGTTTTAAAATGTAAACAAAAAAACATGTTCACAATTTAAATAGAAGATGGGCGCGAAGCGCCTTAAAAGCCTAGTTTCATTAATTTATATAAACTCCAACAGGAGTTATTCAATTTAAAATTGGGACATATAAGTATTAATTTATAATTGCAATTTTACCATAATATGAATTCTATCCAAAAGCAACTTGTAAATATTGGGAACACTCATTTAATTGGTAGAAGTCGTTGAAATTGGTAGAGATGGTTCAACCTGGTTCAACCACATATCATTTATTATTTTTAAATTTTGAACTATCCTAGCGTAACTCTAGCCGAGCTCTGTAAGCTGTTGTATTTTTAATTTTTGCGGTTCAAGTAAAGAGTAGATCACAGTAAAAATTTCCACACATTCTTGAAAAAAAAAAAAATTTTCAAATATTTTTTAGTCCAATAGAGCCTCGCTGCCAGTGATGCCATTTCCAGAGGAATCTCTCCGGCTCTCAACACTTGCTCCAAGACTGTTTTCTGATCAATCCCCTGTAGCTGCTCCGGAACCGGTTCAAGGCAATCTCTTTCTTCAAAACAAAGATCAGACGAATAGTAATCAAGAGTCTGAATTTCTCAGATTTCAACAAGAGCAATCTTTTCAACAAGAAGCTCTCCAGCCAAATCAACAAGAGTCTCTTCCACAAGAGGAGCAGTTAAGACAACAAGTGCAGTTTTTCGAGGAATCTAAAACTGAAGAACGGTAGGAACCGCTAAAAGTATAAAGTTAAAATTGACGAGTTACAAAATTAAAAAGACTGCTTAGCGCTGAATTCAATTGTATTCTATGCTTCTTTTTTGTCCATATGATAATGGGGGGGGGGCGAAGATGAGAGAGATGGAAATTTAAAACATTGTTATATTTCAGTCCTGTTCTGGGTATATTTGATCAGCTTAGGCTTCAGTTAGAATCAAGACTCAGGTTAGACATGGTGTTCATGATGTACAATAACTTGGTTTGTTTTTTCAACGCTTTTGGACCTTTTAATTTGTGAACCTTTTTAAGGTTCCAGAAAAATCTAAGAAGTTCTGGAAATTTCAAAATAGTTTATTCTAAACAGTTGTTTACACAATGCCTAATTTTGTCCCGGAGAGAAGATAAAGCTAAAACAAACCAAGAACTATTGTTTTAAAGCCATTATTTTTTCCTTCTATATTTTCTCGTGAGCTACATTTGTTGCTTAATTTAAAGGGACTGTAAGCGTAAGTTCAAGTGACCATCCATGCAAAGAGGAAGAATGTGTTAAATAGCTGTTGAATCGTCCTGGAACTAGGTCTACGCTGCTAAAACTTTAAATAAAAGGTCACATGAAAATACGCTCACAGTCCCTTTAATAAAAGCAAAAGTTAGTCATAAACATTTTCAGGTCAATCTTGAGGTCATCATTTTTCTATTTTAAATCTGCTGATAGTAACGAACCCCTTCAGCTTCTGGTGGCGGTTTTATATAAATTTAATTAAATTTGTATCATCTCTCAATTCATTAACTCGGCTTGATGTAATTATATACTGTATATACTCCTTTAATTAATTAAAAGTTTTTGCTAAGGAGTTTAGTGGATTTGGCTAAGCGCTATTCGAACCAAAAGTTAAAGCCTCAAACTGTTTAGTGCTGAAGGAGAACAAGGATTGCTGTTAACTACTCCTCTACCTAACATTGATCCTACCTTCTTCAACACCAGGGTTCAGAGTACAGCTGAAGTACCAAATATCATTCAGAATCCTAGTCTTCCAGGGAACATGTGGATTTATGCTCTTAACTTCAGTTAGATTTTTTGCATAATCCAAATTAACACTATTTTATATTTTGAAGGTTATCTTCAGTCAAAGACTCTTTTATTACTGGTTGCTTTACGATGGGTACCCTTTTAAGTTAAAAAAATAAAAATTAGTTTTTTTTTAAGATGAATTAAGTGTCTTAAGATTTGATAAATTCTACTGTTGTTGAAGGAGGTGGAGGAAGAGGGTTATTTGACAATATTGTAAACAAGATAAACCAGGGCCATAGAGAGAATGCTCGGAGAAAGCAGCAAGGACTTCCTGAGCAAGAGACATTGAGTGACTCCCAACAAATTCAGGGGCTACTGGGGAATCCACAACCGTTCCAGCAGCAGCCAGTGACTCCATCACCGTTTCAGCAGCAACCAATGACTCCACAACCATTCCAGCAGCAACCAGTGACTCCATCACCGTTCCAGGAGCAACCAGTTACTCCACAACAGTTCCAGCAGCAGCCAGTGACTCCATCATCGTTCCAGCAGCAACCAGTGGCTCCACAACAGTTCCAGCAGCAACCGGTGACTCTACAACCATTCCAGCAGCAACCAGTGACTCCACAACAGTTCCAGCAGCAACCGGTGACTCCACAACCATTCCTGCAGCAGCCAGTGACTCAATCACCGTTTCAGCCACAGCCAGCAACCCCGCAACTGTTCCAGCAGCAACCGGTGACTTCACAAAACACAATATCTTCAGACTTCCTTAAAATTTCTCCAGAAGTCCCTGAAAGGCCTCAAGAACGGCTCAGGTAAATAGATGTTTAAAGAAATTTTGGGGAAATCTCACTTTTTCTGTTTATGTTCATGATTATATATATATAAATTTAGCTTGTCTGATTATTTGCTTGCATCCAATAAACGTCAAAACGGCTGAACCGATCGGGCCCAAATTTTTTGTGGGACATCTAGGGCCCCCAGGGAAGGTTTATGACCAATCAGACTTTAAATATGTAATATTAAAATATTTTTATCTTAAATTATTTAATTTTGTAAAAGTTTGAAAATGCGCGAAAAAAATATTATGAAATCCGCAAATTTAAAAAAAATGTTATACTGTACAAAGAGAAGATGCTCACAGATGAAGCCACAGATAAAAGTTGAAAAAGAAGATAGGCGCGAAGCGCAGTATAAGAAACTATCTTAGTTTTGAATGAATTTTTTTATGCCCATGCTTTTTATTTCAGAGATTTCTTGTTGGAACGACAAAGGGCTCAGGAGCAAGATATACTAAGGGCAGAACAAGAGGCGGCCATTGTTGAACAGAAACAGGTGATTTTTCAGTAGACCATTTTGTGTAATTTTTATGGGTGGTTCGACTGTAGAGATGAACATGTTTAACTTTTTTCATTTCGTTTGTTCATTGTTCGTGAACAACCCATGTTGTTGGGCTTTTTTCAATCGTTCGAAAAATATTGATTTTGTTCGTTCTCAAAAATTCTTGTTCATTTCCCATCTATTTCGTTCGTTTTATCACTGAATGATCGTTCATCAAAATCGTTCATTCAGTAAACTCGTTCGTTCAGTAAAAAACACATTTTTTCAAAAATTTGTTCGCAAAAAATCGTTTGTTCAGTTGAAATCTATAGTTTTTTAAAAAGTTTGTTCCAAAAAATCGTTCATTCAGTGAAAAGCGATCGTTTATTTTAATCTTTCGAAAATTCGTTCGTTTAGTAAAAAAAAATATTGCTTTTTCAAATACTTTTAAACAATTTTAAATAGTTAGTTTTTTCGTTAATTTTTAAAAAACGATAATTTTCTCATTTTTCTGAACGATCCATTTCGTTAGTCCATTGTTCGTTTTTTTTCTCCTCTTTGAACGACACCGTTTTTCACGAAACACTTTGTTTGATATCAAAAATGTTGTTCATTCAAAAACCGATGCTCATCCCCTTTGGTACAGTTTTCTTCGCATCTTGTCTTTGTTTTATCTGAACCGTATCATGTTCTGTAGAGTTTTGAAAAAAACTTCTCCACAGGAGATTATACACTGCAGACTCCGGTTCAGTTTAAGTAAAGGGCTGACTGACTATAAAGCAGCGAGAGCAAGTTGTACAGTTCACATAAAGTCTATTTAAGGTAGAGTGAGACAGTACACCATATGAATCACCCCCTTCTATGGATATTCTATTGTATTGATTATTTACTAAATTGATCGGTTAAACTTTGATTCTAATTTAAGATTTAAACCCAAGTTTGAAAGTTTCTGATCCTGTTTGATTTAAACTGTCTAAACAGTATATATACTATCAATATTAATTAGAGATGTGCACGTTCGACTTTTTTCATTTTGTTTGTTCATCGTTTGTAAACGACCCATTTCGTTTTTTTTAATCGTTCAAAAAATTATTTTGTTCGTTCTCAGTATTATCGTTCATTTTCATTCTATTTCGTTTGTTTTCTCATTGAACAATTGATCAGTAAAATCGTTCGTTCAATAAATTCTTTCGTTCAGCAAAAGAACGATAGTTTTTTTCAAAAATTTGTTTGAAAAAATTATTCTTTCATAATAAATATTGTTCCAAAAAATCGTTCGTTTAGTTAAAAACGATATCGTCTTTTTCTCAAAATCTTTTGAAAAATTCGTTGGTCCGGTAAAAAACGATTGTTTTTCAACTTCTTGAACATGATTTGCCTTTTTTGTGCTGTCAAATGAAACTTCAGAGACGACTGTGCGGAATATATTCTATTGTTTCCTGATATATTAAACATTCTCTGCAACTGTAAACCTAATTCTTTCTTTGCTAAAAAATTAATAAAAGAGTATATTTAAGACATAAGACGTTATTAAACCTTGGGACCGTGATAGTGTAAAAGTCTCTGGTCGTCTTTACAGTCTCATCCTGTGTGGGTAACCCTGTATGTAATGTAAACCGATCATAAGTTTAAAAGATGAATTAAGTTTGCAAAGTTTGGGTTCAAAGAAAGTGTAAAATCGAAGTTCAAAAACAAAGAAAATTTAAAACTTTTGACATTGACAAATTAAGCATGAGAAGTTTTATTACAAATTCAAAAATAGGAAAAATTGAATTTCATATATGTTCAGGGGGACATAAAAACTCGGGATTAGCGTTTTTAGCTCTTCAATTCTTTTTATAATGTGGTCCAGGGTTTTGTTTTCAATTTTAGAGTTTAAGCATCTTTTATGTCTTCAATGCTTCCATTTAGCATTAACTATGGTGTATATACGAAAACCTCTATGTTTTCCTTTAACATTGAATAATTTTAATATCCTTATTTAAAGGAATTGAGTCCCTGCCACAAACTCTGATTTTCTAATCCCAATATCCTTGCTAACCAATGTTGTAGACCTTATATTTTTCAAACTATGAAATCTGATACTTTAAAATAAATAGTCTAAGTTAGAAATATCAAAGGTTTACATCATTAGGTTGCCCAGATATAGGGAGTCAAAAATTATAGTTTGTGGCAAAGACTCAATTCCCTTATAATTCAGAGAAAAAAATATGCTTTGAAATCATAATGATAAAAACAGAATTTGTTCAGACTTTATTTCAAACTTTATTTAAGCACATTCTATAAAATAAATCTAAGGGGTTTCAGATCTTTCTTAATAATTTTTTTTGTGTCTAATTTTGATTCTCTAATTTATTCTTCCAGGAAGATGAGAGAAGAAAGAAAGAAGAAGAAGAGAGAAGACTGATCTTAGAAGAAGAAAAGAAAAAGGAAGATAAGGAAAATAAAAGAATTCTGGAAGAACAGGAAAAAAAGAAGGAAGAAGAAAAATTGACAAAGTAAGAAAATTTTAAACAAAAATTTAATTTTTTTTATTTTTCTCACAAGAAACTGTTGGTTTAAATGGAGTGTTTGCAAAAGTCAGAAGGGGATAAAGTATGAATCATGGTAAAAAATTTTACGACATTTGAAATTTGACAAATATTACATAGTTCTGAACTAGATGAAAATAAAAGCACAAAATTTGAAGATATTTTTTCTTTAAGATTGAAAAATCTAGAGGAAGAAAGGAGGAGAAGTGATGAACTTTTAAAGAAACGAATTCAGGTTTAAAGTTTTAGTTCGAAATTTCGTAAAGGAACTGAGTTCTTGCCTCAAACTCTGACTTTCTAATTCCAAAAGCTCTGTAACCTGATGTCGTAACCTTTAATATTTTTACCTATATATTCTGTTAGATCTAATAGTCAAAAAGATGGAAAAATCTAAGGTTTACAACATTAGGTTCCAAAGATATAAAGATTAGAAAATTTGGGAGAGTGGCAAAGACTCAATTATGTTATTATATGATTATTGCGTAAAATATATTGTTTTTAACAGTTTTGTTAACAACCCTTTAAAAAGAAGAGGAGGGGGGGGATTTGAGTCTTTTACTAAAGATACCTGTAACTTTATATATCTAGGAGGAGCAGGATAGAAGATTGGCGAGAGAAGAAGAAGAAAGAAGAATAATGGAAGAAAGAGAAAGACAGATTCTTTTAGAACAGGCAGCAGTAGAAGAAAATAGAAAGCGAGAAGAAGAAGAAAGAAGAATAATGGAAGAAAGAGAAAGACAGATTCTTTTAGAACAGGCAGCAGTAGAAGAAAATAGAAAGCGAGAAGAAGAAGAAAGAAGATTAAGGGAAGGAGAACAAGCAGCAGTTGAAGAAGAAAAGAGAAAGAACGAAGAGGTGGAAAAAGCAAAGAAAGAAGAGGATATAAGAGTTGAAGAGGAAAAAACTGAGTATGCACACTTTAGATAAATAGGACAAAATGAATCTATATTTTGAATGCAAAAAAAGTATTTTTAAAAGATTTTTCTTAATTAGATTTTTTATAATTCGAGCCTTGGATTAATACATTCTCTGACATAACAAAGGGGATGGTGGAGTTGGCACATTTGATGTAGGGGGGGGGGGGGCTGCCTTCATTTTTGGTTCAAATCTTCCAATTTTTTGGGTGCACGCCTAATTAGTGATCGAAATTCCTAAAATAAAATCAAATTGAATTTTAATGACCTCTAATGACCTCTAATGACCTCTAATGACCTCCAGAAATAGAAAATATTTCAACTATGGCTTTATGNTGCTACTGGATTCCCTGGGTTCCCAGCTTTCGTTTGATATGCATTAAGCCATAGTTGAAATATTTTCTATTGGTGGAGGTCATTAGAGGTCATTAGAGGTCATTAGAGGTCATTAAAGTTCAATTTTATTTTATTATAGGAATTTCGAACCCTAATTAGGCGCGCACCCAAAAAATTGGAAGATTTGAACCAAAAATGAAGGCAGGGCCCCCCCCCCCTACATCAAATGTGCCAACTCCACCATCCCCTTTTGTTATTTTCAAACTGCAGGGATTAGACTTTAGTTTTCACTTTACAAAGAATTATAAGTTTCTTTATTTTAAACTGAAAGACGAGTTATATTGATGAATATATTTCAGGGGTTTAGATAATCCTGAAATATTGGCTGATTCACCACAGGTCGTATTTAGACAAGCAGCTCAAGCTATTAGGTAAACAAAACTATTTATAACACTGTTATTTTGGTTCACAGTGCTATTAAATTTTGGACTTAAATTTTTTCTATATCTCGAAGGTTCAAGCCTTTTTAGATTTAATTTTGTCCATAGCTTAAGCAAGGGACAAAATATAATCTAAAAACTGTATAGCACACGTGTTATATAATGAACAGCTAATTTAACATTATAGCACGATGATTACTTTATAGCACATTCATTATGAAATTCACGATGAAGTGAGTAATAATGATAAAGTACACAATACTTTCATAAAAGTTTTTATAATTCAAGGGCTTATATATAAGGACTGTCTACGTAATATATATAAGGACTGTCTACGTAATATATATAAGGACTGTCTACGTAATATATATAATTTATAACCTGCTCGATTCACAACGTTTATCGGATTAAAGAGACTGTAAGCTTAATTTCAGGCGACCCTCTGGCCGGCCATGCCGGTACTCTTATAAAGCTTTGTCTGTTAGAGTATGAATTAAATATCCATTGTTTATTTAAACTGTTTATTTTCAATTGTGGTTTCTCTGCAAAAGTGACTTGCGCATTTCTTGATTATAAGAAACAATGGAAAAGAATATGTACTTTTCGAGTCAGAAAAACGACGTTAGCTTTCACATTTTTAAACAGATTGAGGTTTCCAATTTAGTAGGCGTTATCCTTTTATTAAATTTTGATATAATTTATCACACCTAATATTTCCCGTTGTATTGTGTGATTAATCGGCTTTATCGCCCTACAATAGAGCAAAAAAATAATTTCACCCTGCTATTTAAATTTCAAATTTCATACCTAATTTTTCTCGTTTTAGGGTGATAAAGTTACTTAATCACCCAACAACAGGGTGATTAAGTAACTTTAAAGACCTGCTTTTAAATAAGTTGAGTAAAAATTGACTGAAACTATATTTGTTATTAAAATGGGAATAATGCGATGCGAAAAAGTTTTGCTGTGATTTTTAATTGTTTCTAGTTTGTTTCGATCAGAATAAAAGTATTTTTACTCCTCACTACGTTCGGTGGGAAAATACTTTCATTTTGAACAAACTAGAAAAAATAAAAAACCCGCCAAAAAGTCTTTTTTGCACTCATTGCAATGACACAATAAAATAATAATCCGATTAAAAAAGCAAAGGTTTCGAGGATACAGTTTTGAAACGGACGTTTAACTTTTTAATCTAAATTGAGGGGTCACAGCTTTTAATACGTTGATATCTAGTCCCTTGAAAACAGTCTGTACTTACTTGTAAAACGGAACCTTAAACCTCTATAAGGGGGGTTAATGAACCTAGAAGAATTTTTGGAAACAAATATTTCTAAAAAATATATTTTAGTTTGAAAAAAGAGCGCGGAGAAGAAAAATCTAGCCCAGCAGTGTGGGCAGCAGTCAAATCTCTTTCAGGTTAAAAAATAATTTAATTTTTTCACAAATTGTCGATGGACAAATTTCAATTCACAAAACTGTTAATACATTTTACTCTGATTTAAAATATGCAAATAAATCTACAGTGGTAACCAGAAAACTCTGGAATTAGAAGTCAACTTTTAGACTTAAGTTATAACTTTAAATAGTCTTATCACCATAAGGCACAACAAATGTGCAGTGTAAACAGATCCATATTACTTATTAAGCGATTTAAAAATTTACTAGCAATGCTATTTGCTTATGATAATTATATTTTTAGAATTTCTTGATGCCCAGTCTACGTTTGAAACTGTTCCTAGGCCAGTAGTAATGGCGATTATACAGGTAAATGTAAAAGGTGTAGCTCACTGCTAACTAGACATTACTGGCATGACTTTGTGACCTCGTAGCTCTTTTAGTTTTCATTTTAGGCAGAAGTATGAAAGGGCAATTTTATTCGGTTTAGTTTAAGAAATTCAGAACATTTTTGTTCTTCTCCAGAACTCTTCAAGAAGAGAAAACATTTAAGATTTCAATCTTACGTGCAGTTAGTTTGGCATGAAGGTCCGACAACAGTTCNAGGAATTGCCAAGAGGAAGGGCTGATTTTCTTCCAAGGGGGGACTTCGTAGCGCTTAAGCACATGACTCTGCAGTAATCCATATATTACGTCTGTGGTAAATTCAAATTTTCGAGAGAAAAGAAACCTACTTCTATTCTGGAAAATGTTGCTCAAACTGACTTGACTTGAACTGAATAATCACGCAAAACTAAAAAAACTAAAAATTTCGGTTTTTCACCAAAATAGATATTTTTGATTTGTGGTTCTGTGACTTTTAAATGTCTATTAAAAAGTCAAGAATGAAATTATTTTTTCACTATAAATTCTTTTTTTTAGTTAACTAGATTCTTGGAGAAGGAGACACCTCAGGAAGAAGAAAAGGGTAAAAACAGTTTTTTAGCTTTAAAGTGACCTTGCCATTTTCCATGGAGGGTCACTTGAAATTTGTCCTATGCATGTTAAAGTTAATATGTAATACATACTTAGGTACTTCTCGCATATGTCAAAGTGATCCATAGGTTCAGTGTGTATAATAATTAAATTGTAAATTATTACTTTTTAATAACACATTTTCTAGTTGTTATTAAGAAAAATTATCATTTTATCGTACAAGGTGAATTGTAATTTAAAGTTTTATTCTTTAATTAGATTTTATCATTGCAAAAGTATCATGAAACGCTTATATAATGTTTAAATTGTTTTATTAGAAAAGGATGCAAGTTAATTATCAAAAATGTAACTTTTTAACATTTTTTTTTAGTTTCCAGCGATATCACGTCAACACGTAGTCCTCAAATCAAATCTGGGCACAGAATTAGCCATAGATTCAGACAGAGCATTAGAGGTAGGAACAGATACAGGAACAGGAGTATGAACAGGATCAGGAACAGGATCAAGAACAGGAACAGGAACAGGAACAGGAACAGGAACAGGAACAGGAACAGGAACAGGAACAGGAACAGGAACAGAAACAGGAACAGGGACAGGAATAGGAACAGGAACAGGAACAGGAACAGGAACAGAAACAGGAACAGGAACAGGAAAATAAACAGGAACAGGAACAGGAACAGGAACAGGAACAGGAACAGGATCAGGAACAGAAACAGGAACAGAAACAGGAACAAAAACGGAAACAGTAACAGGAACAGGAACAGGAACAGGAACAGGAACAGGAACAGCAACAGGAACAGCAACAGCAACAGGAATAGGGACATAAACAGGAACAGGAACAGGAACAGCAACAGGAACAGGAACAGGGACATAAACAGGAACAGGAATGGAACAGGAATAGAAAATGGAACAGGAACAGGAACAGGAACAGGAACAGGAACAGGAACAAGAACAGGAACAGGAACAAGAACAGAATCATGGAAACATGAAGCATGGAAGCATGGAAACATCGAAGGATTCGAAACATGAAGCATGGTAGCATGGAAGCATGAAAGCATGGAAGCATAGTAGAATGGAAGCATGGAAGCATGGAAGCATGGAAGCATGGAAGCATGGAAGCATGGAAGCATGGAAGCATGGAAGCATGGAAGCATGGAAGCATGGAAGATGGAAACATGGAAACATGGAAAAACATGGAAACATGAAAACATGGAAACATGGAAACATGGAAACATGGAAACATGGAAACATGGAAACATGGAAACATGGAAACATGGATTCATGGAAACATGGATTCATGGAAGCATGGAAGCATGGAAACATGGAAACATGGAAACATGGAAACATGGAAACATGGAAACATGGAAACATGGAAACATGGAAACATGGAAACATGGAAACATGGAAACATGGATTCATGGAAACATGGATTCATGGAAGCATGGAAGCATGGAAACATGAAAACATGAAAACATGAAAACATGGAAACATGGAAACATGGAAACATGGATACATAGATACATTGAAACATGGAAACATGGAAACATGAAAACAAGGAACAGGAACTAAAAACAGAATTTTCAGGAAATCTACCGAGAAACAGAAGTTCATCAACAAATACAGTTATTAGAGTAGCTCCAGAAACAGCTTCTTCCGATGAAACAGCAGCAAAATCAGATACAGCTGCTGCTAGCAATGGAGCAGAACCTAAAAAGCTCTCTGATTTATTTAAAAATACCAGGTTGCAGTTTTTCTGATTATTTATTTCCCACTTTACTGTAAAAAAACCATTTCTGGTTTAAGAATATATATATATACTAGCCTTAGAGGGCGCTTCGCACCCATCTTCTAAATTAATGGTGAATTTCGTGGATTTTCAAAATTTTCAAAAATTTAATGAAGATCAAATTTTGGTGAAGACAAATATTTGAAATTTTGATCATTCATAAACCTTCCCTGTGGTCACGTGACAAAAAATTTGGACCCGATCGGTTCAGCCGTTTTGACGTTTATTGGATACAAACAAACAAACAAACAGACAGACAAGCCAAATTTATATATAGATATATAGATATATATAGATATATATATAGATATAGTAATATATATATAATTTAGGAATATATATATATATATATATATATATATATATATATAATAAAGGAATAGATATATAATACTAGCTGAAAGGCCCAGTGTTGCCCGTGGACAAAAAACTATTTAAGAATTTTTTTTGAAAACAAAAAAATCGATTTTTTTAGCCTTTAACACGCCCAGGCCACATATGAGTGTCCACAAAATATTTCAGCCCAGTCGGTCCTGCCGTTTGGCCGGCTGTACGCAATATATATATGAATGTCTTGTTTTTATTTTTGCATAGATAGGAATATATATATAATATAGAAATGCATTTTAAAAAATTGCACAAATGAGTTGTGTGTTTTATAACTTTTTTATCTGAAAGGATGATAATTATAATAATAATAATAATAATAATAATAATAATAACAATAATAATAATAATAATAATTATAATAATAATAATACTATCAATAATGCTAATAAAGAAAAGACAAATGATTATAATAACAAAAATGATATTGTATAAATAGGATAAATGAATACAATAATAATAATGATACTTATTTAAATAAAATATATTTACAGACGGCAAAGGCCTCGGTTTCGAGGCCAGGGAGAGCAAAATAGATCATCTGGAAGATCTGAAAAGAAACTTCAAGAAATCCAAAATATACAAAATATCCAAGATGGACAAGATGGACAAGATGGACAAGATAAACAAGATGGACAAGATGGACAAGATTTAAAAGATATCCATGAGAAACTAAAGTTGCAGACCAGCATATTTAATAAAGAGCTTATGAACAGAGGCAGCTTAAGATTCGATGATCAGGTTTGTTTTTAAATAATTTTGTAAATGTTAATTTTTTTCTCGAAATTAAAAAAATATTTTTTTACAAATTCATTTTAAGAAGGAAGTTTGTTTTGATATGGTTTTGATATCGCATTTGTAATTGCTATTGCATAAGTTACTTTGAATGTGTTTGTTTGTTATTTTTTTTATGATTTTGTGATTTTTCTTGTTTAGAATATTGTTGTTTTTGATAATAAGGATGTTCGCTAGTTTTATTGTTTATATTATTTTTCGTAATTATGAATCATTTGAAATTGGTGTATTTGTTAATGTTGATATCGTGTATACTGTATATAACAAACTGTGATATGTTGTAAGTTTTACTTCCCATCATTACTGTTATTGTTATCGTTTGTATTTTTATTGATATATATTGTACTTTTTCTTATATCTTTCAAATGGGATAGAATTTTGCTTTAAAAAAATGTTTTCTTTTGGAATGGAAATATTAAATTTAAATAGGACGCAGGGCTATATTTTTAAAGCTTTTTTATTGAAGAGGGGGGGGGGTTCAGGCTATTTTCTTTAAATGGATTTTTTTTACCACTAAATGTTTAATACCTATTATTAATAGTTAAAACTATTATTATAATTCTAAAACTTTTTAAAGGGGAGGGGGGGGGGTTTAAAAATTGTGCGGATTGTGTGAATTCAATCTATACTTTGCATGTTTGTCTGTTTGTTTCCAATAAACGTCAAAACGGCTGAGCCGATCAGGCCAAATTTTTTGTGGGTCCTCACGTCACGTGACCCCAATGGATGATTGAAATTTCAAAAATGTGCCTCTAACAAAATTATATTTTGAAAATTTAAAAAATCCACAAAATTTTTTTTAAATCCTCGATTTTTTGTTTGTTTTTGTTTTACAATGTGTACAAAGAGAAAATGTTCACAGTTGAAATAGAAGATGGGCGCGAAGCGTCCTGTAAGCCTACTATCTGAAAACTGTCTGACTCTTAATTTTTAGTTTGATGAGACTGAGCTTGGGATTGGAATTAAAGGAACTGTTGGACTTATAGGACATCAACCAGAACTAGAACCCCAGCAGGATATTCAACCTCCAGATCAATTACTTGATGAAGGTACCTAGGGTTATCCATATACATGATAAAGATGCAGGGTGTCCCACAGGGGCGTACACAGGATTTTAGAGAAGGGGGGAGGGAAGATCAAGGAAAAATAGAATATGCGATAGTTCGCGCCCCCTGGCGCTTTCATTGCTCTTATTTTACATAAAGTCTACATTTTCCCTTTGTAACCCACTGAAGGATTCAAGGACTATATATTTGTTGACTTGAAAAGTCACTATAATAAAATAAAGAGATCTAAAATGGATATTTCTAACATTTATTTAAAACGAAAGTGTTTTGAAATATTTGCATTTAAGGCGGAGTTAAAATTGGTTGATTTAGAAATTAACAAAGGAATTAATGATGAANAGGGGGGGGGGGGCAATAGGATATCGACATTTTAAAGTCGACGAGATCTTTAAATCTAATGATTAGGTGTCCATATTTCTGAGTGTAGGAATCAAAATGTGTATCACTAAATATAGTGTACGTCTTATTAATATCTCTATAAAATTGAGTTTTATAAAAATAATTTAACAAATAAATAAGAAATTTAAGGAATTTAAATAAATAAATATTTTTTTTGGTAAAAGTGTCGAAAAGGAAAAAGCTTGCCAGTTAAAATAAAATTTTCGTTTTCCCAAAATGTTGGAAAATTGTCGTAGTACTCTAAATATTTTATAATAACAGCTGGTTTTCCTCAAAATAATTAAAGATTAAATTAAAAATATCAGAAGATAATTATTTTTAGATTATTATCGTAATTTTATGGAGTTAAAGCAGTTGCTTCAATTATTTAGAAGATAAAGACGTCAAACACACGTAGCTGTTTATTGGATGATTATTTTTTACTTCTTAACTCCTGTATGAACTGGTCTTTCAATAAACCAGAAATATAATTATACTCGGCACAAGCTCGGCCAGGTTTACGGCGGGAGTAACTATGAATATATATAATAATATAAACCTGGACAATGCCGGGTACTTAGTCAGTGGTTAATTTATTTCGTGAGATTACTTATTGCTTACACAATGGAATTAAGTCTTTGTCACAAACTCTGATTTTCTTTGGAACTTAATGTCGTAGACCTTAGATATTTTAAACTATGAATTCTGTTAGATCAAATTATCTTAGTTTGAAATATCAAAGGTTTACGCCGATAGGATTAAACTATGTGACAAAGGCTCAATTTTAACGTAACGTAACGTTTAGAAGAAGTTTCTTTAAAAACAAGACTCAATTTGTAAATAAACAATTAGGGGGGTCCAAACTGTTTCAATTAAACCTGAAAACTATTGACTGAATATTATTTTTTAGATGAGTCAAAATTTAAGCACATAACAATAAGATTTTAGACTTTAGATTTTAGATTTTAGAGGGACTAAAATACATTTTCTTGATTAGAGTGTCGTTTTCTATTCACAACAGTACCCATTTCAACCTTTTTATTAAGGATAAATAAGATATCATTATTTTTCTTGCTGAAAATCTTCAATTAAGGGTTTTCTGTAAAAGTGGCGGTTTCACGTTATAGCTGCGAATGCGATAATGAAGGAAATTGTCAGTATTTAACACGATAAGAAATACTATATACTTTCATTTCCGGCTTGTTTCACAGGAACCATTTTAAATTGAAAATTCCATTTTATGAATGGAATTTTCAGTCAGAGGTTTATGCAGGGGTGGTATGGATATTTTATACGCCCCTGTCTTCAGTTTATTTTATAATAAATTTATAAAATAAATCTATCGGAATGCTGCTCCAGCACTACCAATACATCTAAAAATATACTTTGCTTGTTTGTTTGTTTGCTTGTTTGTATCCGATAAACGTCAAAAAGGCTGTACATCTCTGGTCCAAGCTTTTTGTGAGACCTCACAGAGGGGAGGAAGGCTAACCACAACAATTCCTCATCCGAGCCACATTCTTCTCATTTTCCTGGCAAACCCACCTCGAAATCCTCGTTCTATCAATATTTTTTTCTTTAAGTGTCTAATCCTCCAAGATAAACTATTGGTAAAGAAATAAAATATTCAATTTTTGTAAATCGAAAAAACCAGTTATAATTGAATAAAAGTTTTCAAGTTTAATGTCTTTAAAAATGTTTACATTTTTTACGCGCATTTTCAGATATTCCTGGTGTAGAATACCGCAAATAATTCCGAATTTATAGAACTTCAATCTATTTTGTTAAGTATAGTGAAAAACATAAAATTTTTCCGGGTGGTTCCACGGGGAAAATGATAGGCAGAGGTATGCCGAATATTTTGCTATTTATTTTATATCACGAAGATTAGCCATTACGGAGGCAGAAGAGATTTAAGTTTTACCTAAATAAAGTTTTACATAATTATCATGGGTTTGAAGATTCCAACATGATGTAATCATTGCAAAACTTTAGTCTATCCATATTTTATGCCCTAACGTGGCCAGATTTTTAAAATATAGTTTTATCTTCGAGAATGGAAACTTTTAAACACATAATAATAGAAGGAAGAGGATTCCGAGCTGGCTCGGACGAGAAAATAAGGAGAATGTGGCTCGGACGAGAAATTGTTGTGGCTTGCCTTCCTCACATGATCCTAAGGAAGCTTCAGGGATGAAGTGCCCTTGAAGCCTAGAACTAGTAATAATATACTTTACTATAATCGGATTGCTTAGTATTATGAGAGAGTTTTCGATTGAATCCAATGATAGAGAAAATAATAATATTTTTACTACAAAACTTATTATAATTCTATAATTATAATAATAATAATAATAATAATAATCTGATGTCTCTTAAAGGGAGTGTTCGCTAATAATGAAATGGGGTATAGGCTTAATGCGATAAAAAAGCGCTTTTGATAGCTAATAATCTTACTTCTATCTGTTGCGTCTATAAGGAGAAAATTGTTAAAGACGTCTCATACCGAATAACTCAGCGCCCATACAAATTCAGAAAATTGCAACATATGACTTAGACCGTAAAAAATCAATTTAATTTCTAACAAATCATTCAGATATTAAAAGCGCTTTTTAATCGCATTAAGCCTATACCCCCTTTCATTTTTCGCGAACACTCCCTTTAAGCATATATTTGAGTTGACACCCGTACCCCGTAACCAATGGAGGGGGGGGGGGGAATTGGGGGACATTCCCTCCCTGGAAGATAGGGCGAATACAGGGGGGGGGGTACCTTCGCACCCCCCAGAGATTTTGAGGAAAAAAATGTTCCCAATTTACAACAATAATTTTCTTAATTTTTTTCATCGTTTGTACACATTTTTCAAGTTATTTGAAGGAATTATGATATAAAATACAAAAACAAAGAACCTGGTATATCAAATCATAGATAAGAAGAAATGACAAAACTGGGTTTTAAAAAAGGAACAATAGTCAACACAATTACACAAATGTTGGATTGGGTGAGTAGGAACAAAAAAGTAAGAACTACATTAGGAACATCATAAAACAAAAGAACGATAAAATGGGAACTTTAATAGGAACATTGACTATTGAACTAGCTAGGAACAAGCCAAAAAACATGAGTTTCATGCATGCACTAAGAAAATAAGTATAATAAATGAAATACATAATCTAAGGAACAATAAAAAGGTTGTTGGGAAATAGGAATAAAACTAAAGGATTTAGGATCTAAGGACACAATGTTATGAATAGGAACAAAAATAGGAACATTAAGCAAGTTTCAAGTTAAGAACAAAAATGAAAGAACTAGGAATTATGAACAAAATTAAAGAATTGGAAATGTAATTCGAAAAACATGAAATGATGATCAACACATAAAGGTACAATGAAGGAGACATACATATGTGAAAAAAATGCCATTCATGCTGAACATGAATTAGGAACAATAGTCAATAAGAGGAACATAATGCAAGTTAAGAACAAAAAGAAATTACTAGGAAAGTTATATATAAGTAAATTTTGAATAAATTATTTGGAAATTCTTATTTCCTGTTAAGAGATGTTAAGGTTTTAATTAAGTTTTTTGTATTTTGAGAAGCTTATCCTTTTCCTTTCCTTTCTTTTATTAAACTAGAAATTCAAGGCGCTTCGCGCCCTTCTTTCTAGCCTTAGAGGGCGCTTCGCGCCCATCTCCTAAATTAATTGTGAACATGTTCTCTTTGTGTACATCGTAAAACAAAACAAAAATAATTAGTGGATTTTCACAAAAAATTTCGCGGATTTTCAAAATTTTTAAAAATTTAATGACGATCGAATTTTGATGGAGACAAATATTTGAAATTTTGATGATTCATAAACCTTCCCTGGGGTCCCTAGATGTCCCACAAAAAATTTGGGCCCGATCGGTTCAGCCGTTTTGACGTTTATTGGATACAAACAAACAAACAAACACCCAGACAGACAGACAAGCCAAATTTATATATTATATTAATGATTCTAATGAAGGATCGTTCAGCAAAAAGTAACATGGATACAACTTAAAATTAAATATAAATATTGTCTGGTTTAGGAGAACCTGTTCTTAGTTAGCCTCAAGCTTGCAGAAAGTTTTTTTAGAATTTGAGTTTTGGGAAAACTGAAGATTTTAGTCATTTACAATTGACAGTCTAAATTTCCCTGTATTAAAATTATTATTGACTATTCATGATTCAAACATTTTCAGTAATACATTTATTTATAGATTACTCAAATATATAACTCTTATACCTCCAGTTTTTTTGGTGTTGATGCAAATAGCTTGTCAAAAACAGAATGCAAAACAGGCAAAATATATATCTTAATAAACTATAATGTGTGATAAGTTAATAATCTAGTTGATAGTTTTTAGTCTTTAATTTTGACCCTTTTAGAGTCCTTCTGGTTAACTATTGGCGACAATTTCGCTAATTATAGGGGGGTGACCAGGGGGCGGGCATAAATCTCCTAATTTTGCCTGGCTAGGTTTATACTGTACAGTGAATTTTGTCGAAAAATGTTTCCTTATGACTGAGTTGGTATCATAGAGTACAGTGGGTTTAATCCTAAGTACATCTATTTGTACGGTATTGTGTGAACAGTTAATTTTAATATTTTTCAACAATGAGATATTGTAGTGTCAAAAATTGTGTAAACAACGATGTTTCGGGTTCAGAAATTTTTCATAACATACGAAAAGAGTGGATAGAACAAGTTATCTGGAAGACAAAACACCCAATTTTTATATGCTCCTACAAAACCAATAGATTATTTCTATTTAAAAATCACTTGTTTCACGTTAAGTTCATTTATGTAAAATAAATATTTTGACAGTTTTAAGTTCTTCAATAACATAAAAATTAAGTCTAACCTAATTTAGATCTATTATTAGTTCAGAATTGCTTTTCATTCTAATTCTAAAAGTCAGAAACATATATTCCTAAGAGTTAATTGTACAATGTAGATTTCAGAAGTAAAGAATTTGATAATAAACAAGATGTTATTAAGGAGAAGGATTTTATTTTTTTCTCTATTTGTCATGTCTCATTTTTATACAAAAATCATATGAGCTTATTTTCTTTGCTTGAATATTGTAGGCTTCACTTTCAAACAATAATGTCTTAAAACACTGATTTACGAATTATGATTCCCCAGGTAGAATTTCTGATCGGGTCATTGTGTACAGTGGCTGTACAACAAGAAGTCTAAAATTCCAGATGCCCCCTCTATTACTAATATCTCGATGGGGGTGACATATTCGCTTCGTACACAACTTTATAATTATTCCACCATAGGTTAACGTAATTACTGATATACATTGTGGCGTAGGCTGTCCAGAAATCTTGTTTTTCTAAAGTTTTCTTAAATACTCTTAAATAAATACTTAAAACACTTCTTGATTTATCAGCAGCATTTTAATATTTTTTTCTTTTAACTGTTTTCATAATGTTTCTTGTAATTTCAATCTTCTAGGAAAAGAAACTTTAAAGAGAAATAAAGTTGGTTAGTACATTTTAAATTTGTAATTTAGCCACCGTCTTAAATAAACTATTTATTAATCAAATATTTTTGCAGAGAACGTTGAAGAACTGAACATAATTTCAAGCTTCACATTCAGAACACTTCCGGTCTAAAAATAATGTCTAAATCAATTGATCAAGTCAAATAATCGATCATGAGTGAATATTGATACAGCTACAAAATCGATCATGGGTTCAGTGAATATTGATACAGCTACAAAATCGATCATGGGTTCAGTGAATATTGATACAGTTACAAAATCGATCATGGGTTCAGTGAAAATTGATACAGCTACAAAATCGATCATGGGTTCAGTGAATATTGATACAGTTACAAAATCGATCATGGGTTCAGTGAATATTGATACAGCTACAAAATCGATCATGGGTTCAGTGAATATTGATACAGCTACAAAATCGATCATGGGTTCAGTGAATATTGATACAGCTACAAAATCGATCATGGGTTCAGTGAATATTGATACAGCTACATAAACGAGCATGGGTTCAGTGAATATTGATACAGCTATTTAAACAATCATGGGTTTAGTGAATATTGATCCAGCTACCTAATCGATCATGGGTTCAGTGAATATTGATCTGGCTACCTAATCGATCATGGGTTCAGTGAATATTGATCTAGCTACCTAATCAATCATAGGTTCAGTGAATATTGATCTATTGTGATATTGATCGATAATGGGTTCAGTGAATATTGATACAGCTACATAAACGATCATGGGTTCAGTAAATATTGATCCAGTTACCTAATCGATCATGGGTTCAGTAAATATTGATCCAGCTACCTAATCGATCATGGGTTCAGTGAATATTGATCTAGCTATGCATAAACGATCATGGGTTCAGTGAATATTGATCTAGCTACCTAATCGATCGTGGGTTCAGTAAATATTGATCCAGCTACCTAATCGATCATGGGTTCAGTGAATATTGATCTAGCTACATAAACGATCATGGGTTCAGTAAACATTTATCAAATTATATATTGTGTTGAACACTGATCTTGACAATTGATCGAATTAAATAGGAATCAGTTATGGATTCAAAATACTTATCAGTCAAACTAATCGATCATTGGGGGAAGATTAGTCAAGTCAACTAATAAATCATGGTTTTACCAGGAATTGATCAAGTGATCAGAGAGTAAACAATGATTAATTGATCATAAATTAGTTAAAAATAGATCAAGAAAACGTTTATATTCTAAGTAGCCAAAATCAATACAATCATTTAATAAACAATAATCACTTGATTAAAAAAGGCAGCATTTTTTTATATTAAATTAATTTAGTTAAAAACTATTTACCATTTTGCAAAAGTGCCAATATCGGATCGATTCTAGTCATGGGAAATTTTAGAATATGTAACCCTGTACAGTGTACAGGGTACAACGTACATAATGTACATTTTAAGTTGTAACCCATGCAAACATGTTAGCAAATAATATTTTATATTTGTTCTATGTCTAATACATAAATGTTATGTTATTAACATTTGATTTAATTCTCTGTACACACGGTGTCCCAATAAACATGGAACTTAAGTAATGACTTTTATATTTTCTTTGCTACACGTGAACCCAAAATTTGTTAATGTATCCCAGTTAAATCAATTAAAGATAAAAGTAAAAATAATGGTCTCGGGATTTCCAAATGTCGGCTACAATTTTCAGACATTTAAAAGTGACAGAGATATTGAGAACTTTTTTTTCAGATTCACATACACGCTATTTTTCTTAAACATTTGTCAATTATCAAAAAAAAAGCGATTTTTAAGTCGTCTCTTAGTTTCCACATTTATTGGGATACTCTGTAAAAATAGAAAGCATTTCTAACTGACTGAACTGTATGATCTGGACTAGAGAATTTCTAATGAAAGAAACTCACAGGAAAAAAGTTTCTGAAAAAAATTATAAATAAAAACTTTGGTAAACAAAATATTCCCAATTTTTTGAAGTCCTAGGACAAAAAGTCACTGGAAATGAAGTCCTATGTTTTAGATTCCTGGGACTATTTTTCTAAAATAATGTGTGGGCTGCCAATAAAGTCCCAGAAATTAAAGTCCTGAAGAAAATATATCCGAAGAAAAACAAAACAAGAAGAAAAGTCCAAAGTCTTGGGAGAATGAAATCAAGTCTGAGACGTTTTTAAAGAATTGAATTTTCTGCTATGCATCTGCACATTGAATTATAGACAGGTGTGTTTTTGTTCCCATGCATTTTCCAATATAAGAGGACTTTTTTAGCGCCAAAATTTAGGACTCAAATTCCGAATTCTTTTTTCAGAAAACTTTTTTGGTGGTTACCTGAGCGAGAGGACTTATATTCAGAGTTAAGACTCTCAAAACGATTTAAAAAAGTATATATTTTCAAGTATATTTTTAAATATATTTTTAATCACATTTTTAAATATATTTTTAAAGATATTTTCAAAAATGTTTTTAAATATTGCACAATAAAGAAAAATGTGGAAATAAAAAAATATGTTCATATATCAAATTTAGATAAAAGTGATAAAAGTTCATTTTATGAGCATCATACCTAGTACCTAGTACCTACATACTACACAGCTTGTTGTTCAAGCCAAAAAATGTATTGTTAAAAAAATTTTGCTTTAAAAAAAATCGTTATTTAAAATTAAAACCTTTATTTTCAAATCATTACATTTTATAAATATAATGATGGTTGCATTGCAGGCAACTGCAAACTATAGACAGCAATTTTAAGCGACATCACTGGTACGAATTTGTAACCTCGTAGCTCCTCTAGTTTTGAATTTACACAACAGTATGATAAAAGTAAATTTATCAAGGTAAATATTAAAAATACAAAACATTTTTGTTCTTAATATCTCTTCAGTTGAAGAAGTTCTGATTGAAATTATATATGATTTCAATCCTGCAAACAATTTACTATTGTTTAACGTGAAAATTAACATAACACTTTAAAAAGGAAAATGGGCGCGAAGTTTTTACTTTTTAATGTTTTTACGTATAGACTGAGAGAAACAGATAGAGAAGAGATCAGGGATCGATAGATAGATAGATAGCTCTGGGAAAATAGATAGATAGATAGCTCTGGGAAAATGTAGTATATAATAAGAAGAGTATGGTAAGGATGGTTTACTCTTGTATCTACTCCACAAGGGTAAGCAACACTGTAGTTTTAGTAGAAGTAAATATTTCCATTTACTGTTTAGCCCCGATATAAGGATTTTTACCTCATTGGATGATGAGATAGAAAGATAGATGATACTGCCTTGCCATTTCTATTAGTTCAGAATAGACACCAAATCCATGGCTGAACCCTGATTGGATCAGGCGCTAATGGAATCGCATAAATATACCATAAATAGATAGATGCATACATAGATAGATACAATGATAGATACATAGATAGATAGATAGATAGATATATAAATATATACATCTTATAAATATTTTCTCCTGAAACACTTTATTTTGCATGGTTTTGTTCTATTTCATAAATGAATAATAACTTAGTTACTTGAATAGATAAATAGATAAATAGATAAATAGAAAGCCGACTTAACAGACAGATGGAAATATAGACAAATAGATAGATTTATAGATAGATAGATAGAAATATAGAGATACTGATACTTTAGATAAATAAAGATATATATATATATATATAAATATATATATATATATTTCTATAGATATTTGTTAAACAATTAGATAAATGTAAAAGATAAAATTAAGGATATAATTTGCATCAATTTTATTTCCAGCCAAATATAGGCGGCTAGTTTTTTTCAGATTTAAAGTTTTTGGATAATATATAGGGTAGGGTACAGGATTAAAGGATACTATATAGGGTAGGGTACAGGATTAAAGGATAATATATAGGGTAGGGTACAGGATTAAAGGATACTATATAGGGTAGGGTACAGGATTAAAGGATACTATATAGGGTAGGGTACAGGATTAAAGGATAATATATAGGGTAGGGTACAGGATTAAAGGATACTATATAGGGTAGGGTACAGGATTAAAGGATAATATATAGGGTAGGGTACAGGATTAAAGGATAATATATAGGGTAGGGTACAGGATTAAAATATAATGGATCAAAAACATGTGTCATATCATTTTATCGATCAAAAACAAACAAAAAACATATTATTTTATCAGTTCAACACCTTTTGTTGCCATTTTTAAAACTTCCTTACTCACCCACCCCATCAGTATATACATGAGATTAAGATCCCAGCCTTTTTACGGAAATTAATCTTAATCTATAAGTATCAAATACTTATAATGTCTCCATTATCTGAAGTCAGAAATGCGCAAGCCACTATTACAGAGAAACCACAAATGAAAATAAAAAGTTTTGAAAATAAAAAACGGGGATATTTAATTCAATCAAAGCTTTTGAGGGTACCATTGTGAATCCGATATAATGTACAAAATCCTTTGCAAAAATGTGACCTTTTGGCAAATTACCATTTTTTTTAAAAAGTAGATGTTTTTTCTTTTTCCACAATATTTTATTTTGAAGAAAATGAAATGTTAATATCTATTCTAAATACAATGGGAAAATCAAAGGATGATCTCTATTCTAAAATACAATGGGAAAATCAAAGGATGATCTCTATTCTAAAATACAATGGCAAAATCAAAGTATTATCTCTAATCTAAAATACAATGGGAAAATCAAAGTATTATCTCTATTCTAAAATGCAATGGCAAAATCAAAGTATTATCTCTATTCTAAAATACAATGGCAAAATCAAAGTATTATCTCTATTCTAAAATACAATGGGAAAATCAAAGTATTATCTCTATTCTAAAATCTAATTGAAAAATCAAAGGATGATATCTGTTCTAAAATCTAATGGGAAAATCAAAGTATTATCTCTATTCTAAAATACAATGGGAAAATCAAAGTATTATCTCTATTCTAAAATACAATGGGAAAATCAAAGTATTATCTCTATTCTAAATACAATGGAAAAATCAAAGGATGATCTTTATTCTAAAATACAATGGGAAAATCAAAGGATGATCTTTATTCTAAAATACAATGGAAAAATCAAAGGATTATCTCTATTCTAAAATACAATGGAAAAATCAAAGGATGATCTCTATTCTAAAATACAATGGGAAAATCAAAGGATGATATCTGTTCTAAAATCTAATGGGAAAATCAAAGTATTATCTCTATTCTAAAATACAATGAGAAAATCAAAGGATCATCTCTATTCTAAAATACAATGGGAAAATCAAAGGATCATCTCTATTCTAAAATACAATGGGAAAAGCAAAGGATCATCTCTATTCTAAAATCTAATGGGAAAATCAAAGAATCATCTATATTTTAAAATACAATGGGAAAATCAAAGTATTATCTCTATTCTAAATACAAATGGAAAAATCAAAGGATGATCTTTATTCTAAAATACAATGGGAAAATCAAAGGATGATCTTTATTCTAAAATACAACGGGAAAATCAAAGGATGATATCTGTTCTAAAATACAATGGGAAAATCAAAGGATGATCTCTGTTCTAAAATACAATGGGAAAATCAGAGGATCATCTCTGTTCTAAAATACAATGGGAAAATGTTTGAAGCTTGTATAGTCTCTAATACGCCAAGATAACCAATTTGAACCAGAAAACTCTAAAATATAAAGACAACTTTTAGACTCAAGTTGTTATTTGAAATAGTCTAATGAATGTGCACAGTAATTGTGTTTTGTAAATAGCCCATTTCACTTAATAAGATGGATTCTACGCTAAATGCACTTTCGGATAACAAAAGAACTTTTTCATTTCGTTCCTTTATCTCCTTGATTTTTGCACATTGTCAATTTAGTTTAAAGATGCCATGCAAATTGCAAATCACGAAATTTTTTTTTCTGACATTCTCCTCTGTTTCTTTTTCTGCCAGTTTATTTCACCTTTCCATCAATATTTTCATTTATATTTTTTTCCTTTAAAATTTTTATCAAGTCTTTCTCATTCTAACAGCCTTTGATTCATTATATATCTATATTTTCAATATTCAAACATTTTTTAAGCTTTATTGTTTTGCTTTTTTTACTCATTTCTTTCTATTCCGTGATTACTAATAGCAACGTTTATAATCCTTCTTATCTAAGCTCCAATTCTTACTAGCTAGATTTGGTATTTGAACTGAAAATACAGTTACATTAGTTTCTAGAAGAATTTTTTGTTATGTCTTTCGTCCAGGTTATTAAATAACTTTTTCTTGATTTTGCATACTTTTTTATATTTTCTATATTTTCTATTTTTTCTATATTTTCTATATTTTCTATATTTTTTATATTTCTAAATTTTCTATATTTTTATCTATTTCTTAAGGATGTTTGACGAGAGTTTAAAGTAGTAAAAAATAGTTTAAACTGTTTTGATAAAACCTGAAAAATATTGAGAGAAATAACCCAACTCAGATTTGGCCAGTAAAAACTAAAAACCGCGTCAAATTAAAAAAAGGAATTTATATTATTTATAATAAAGTTTAAATAAGTTCTTAGAAACGGCAATTGTGTCTGCAAGACTATTTTAATTCACAGTATTAAAATAACTGAATTGATTAAAATTTATGATGTTAGAATTTATGAAGTTAGAATTTATGAAGATCAAATTTATGAAGTTAGAATTTATTAAATTAGAATATATGAAGTTAGAATTTATGCAGATAAAATTTATCAAGTTAGAATTTATGAAGTTAGAATTTATGAAGTTAGAATTTATAAAGTTAGAATTTATTAAATTAGAATATATGAAGTTAGAATTTATGCAGATAAAATTTATGAAGTTAGAATTTATGAAGTTAGAATTTATGAAGTTAGAATTTATAAAGTTAAAATTTATTAAGTTATATTATAGGGACTTGATTGTATGTATTTACAGAGAAAGCCCTCTTTTAAACATCTTCTAAATAAAATTGTAGCAACTTGATATGTGAACCAGTTATGATTAGTATCTCTTAAAGGGAGTGTTCGCGAAAAATTAAAGGGAGTATAGACTTACGGCGAAAAATCATCGATGGTGATTGCTACTTCTATCTGTTGCGTCCCTAAGGAACAAATTGTTAAAAACGACTCATACTGAAGAACGAAGCGTCCCTACCTAAAATCATCGATATTTTTCGAATGTAGTCGATATTTCATAATATTTTTTTTTTTTATCCGAGAGTTACTTTTGAAAACATTTATTCCTGTTTCGAGGATTTTTGATAATGAGAACGACATTTTCATATTTTCCAGGAATGTTCGAAAATCCAGCGCCAACCGTGAAAACAAGTTGTAAGCTAAATATTACTTTTAAAAGAATCAAAAATATTATGAAATATAAGCTATTTAGGAATGGGTCGAAAAATTATCGATGATTATAGGTTGTAATATCTGAATGATTTATTTGGAACTAAATTGATTTTTTTACGATTCGAGTCGAATTTTGCAACTTTCTGAAATTGTATGGATGCTGCGTTCTTCGGTAAAAGTCGTGTTTAACAATTTTCTCTTTAGAAACGCAACAGATAGGAAAAAGATTAGCAGCGATCACCATCGATATTTTTTTGACGTAAGTCTATACCCCTTTTAATTTTTCGCGAACACTCCCTTTAAAGGGGCACATTTCAGACTTGAAACAGTAGCAAAAGTGATAACTTGGTTCGTTTTTTAAAGGTTTAAAGGTTTTTAGATTTTTAAAAGGTTTCACCATAATTTGAAAAGTTCATAATTTGAGAAGTTCATAATTTGAGAAGTTCATAATTTGAGAAGTTCATAATTTGAGGAAGTTCATAATTTGAGGAAGTTCATAATTTGAGAAGTTCATAATTTGAGAAGTTCATAATTTGAGAAGTTCATAATTTGAGGAAGTTCATAATTTGAGAAGTTCATAATTTTTGTTTTAAAAATTTTCTTTCCCTTCCCTTGCCCAATTTTGACCCTGTACTTGAGATAAGATATTTGCGAAAAACGAACCAAAGATTATTGTTTTTCCTTATATTTTAGAAAATTCTGAAATATGTAGCCAACTTTTAGACTCAAGACCAATGAACATGTGGCACAGCAATTGTGTAGTGTACACAGACCCATTCAATTAATAATTGATTTCATAACTTACTACTCCAACAACATCAAATTCACTTCAGTATTGCATTAATGTCGTCTGTATTCTAGTCCCAAAACCTTCAAAGTTAATGAAAAACGAACTACGGCTGACGTTAGGACAAGGCCAAATTACGGACCGAGAGTCGGGACTAGCTGTACTTCCATGTATTTTATGTCAAAGAAAAATTTCTCGAAAATAGCATTAGCAAAAATATTTTAAGAAAATTTTAACAGTTTTTTTTCATTTTTTATTAGAAAACTGATTTTCAGGTTGTATATTTTTGAGAAGATATCAGAAGAAAAACAGTTTTTGTAATTTGTTTTAGAATGAAGCTTTGGACGATTTTGCTCTTCTTCCTTCCTTCTATTCTTGGTAAATAAATAAAGAAAGTGAATTTTTGCACAAACTCAAATTTTTAAAATTTCTTAATCTTTGCAACCTGATGGTGTAAACCTTTGAAAATTTAAACTTAGATAATTTGATTAGATAATTTAATTTATAGTTTAAATTATTTAACCTACAACATTGTGTTTGAAAGATTTAAGGAGCAAAAAATCAGAATTTGTGGCAAAGCCTAAATTCTTTTCATGATGTGTAACAAGAATTTTTTGTTTATTTAAGAAATAAAAAAAAACATATTAGAAATAAAATCAATTACTGTATTTGCTTGTGATCAGGAGACTCTGTGTTTGATTAATTAATCAGGAGACTCTGTATTTGATTAACTGATCAGGAGACTCTGTATTTTATTAATTGATTAGGAGACTCTGTATTTGATTAATTGATCAGGAGACTCTGTATTTGATTAATTGATCAGGAGACTCTGTATTTGATCAATTGATCAGGGACTCTGTATTTGTAAATTGATCAGGGGACTCTGTATTTGATTAATTGATCAGGAGACTCTGTATTTGATTAACAGGAGACTCTGTATTTGATTAATTGATCAGGAGACTCTGTATTTGATTAATTGATCAGGAGACTCAGTATTTGATGAGCTGGAATCCAATGATCTGATTCCTATATCAACCCGAAGTCGTGAGGTAAAAACTTGTTCAAGATATTAAAGGTTTATCTACGATCCACAACGGTACCGTTGAAAGCTTGGTCTGATCATGACTGAATGAATTATTCAGATTTTTCTCTTTAGAAAAAAATTACTATTTTCAATTGCTGCTTCTTTCTGCAGAAACATTGAGAAAATCGTCCCAATTAAACACTATAGTATAGCAAAGAAATGATGATATCTTCCCCATTATTGATTAACTAAAGGTTTGAAGGGTACTTGCTCTCTGTAAATGTGAACAAGAAAACGTCACAAAATAAATTAACGTCAAATGTTCTGAGCTTAAAGTGAACTTTTTTGCGTCTTCTTGAGGTTTTCACCTCGTGCTTAAATCTTCTAGCACATATTTTTTGTTTTGTCTTTATTGTTAAGAAATGAACATTAAATTTCTTTGAATGGTATTTCAAGACAACGTCAGGGCCCACTGATACTTTACTTTTTAGATTAGCATGCATGGGCCCTGGGATTAACCAGGGCGAAATTCGTTCGATTAACATGATAGTATACGTAAAGATCGTTTCTGTTTTGTATACTAATCTAATGAAAAGTATTTAAAAGGGCAGAGCACAGTTTGAAAATGTAAAAACGGAGTAACATTATCCTTGTAAAACTGAGGATTGACTTATGATTGCCGCAAATTATTTAAACGATAAAACGTTACCTTTAAGCTGACTTTCAACGGTTATGTTTTGAAGGACACCCTGTATGTACAATATATCTTCCAGAGCAAATTTTTCTCCAATCTTTTTAATCCTTTAAAATCTGTTGAAAGAAAATGTTTTATTTGTCCAGGAATTACCGAAATGCAGCGGAAACTCCATATGTGGATTCCTCCAGGCAAATAACAAGGTACCGTAGGGAAACTGCATTCAAACTTCACAATAAACCTTCAAAACCCTGTACTAAAAGCTTGCCTTAAAGGGAGTGTTCCCGAAAAATAAAAGGGGATATAGGCTTACGTCTAAAAATAAGCATTTTTGATGGCTATACTAATCTTACTTCAATCTGTTGCGTCAATAAGGAGAAAATTGTTGAAAACGACTCATGCTAAAGAACGTAGCGTCCATACAAACTCAGAAAGTTGCAACTTTCAACTCGGATCGTAAAATAATCAATTTAATTCCAAACAAATCATTCAGATATTACAACCAAAAGTCATCGATTATATTTCGACACATTCATACAAAGTTTTTAGTTCAATATATTTTCGATTTTTTTAAAACAACATTTTGCTGGCGCTGGATTTTCGAACATTCCTGGAAAATATGAAAATATCGTCTTCATTATCAAAAATCCTCGAAACAGGAATGAATGGTTTCAAAAGTAACTGTCAGATCATAAAAAGAAAAAAATATTATGAAATATAGGGTTTGACAAGTGTACAGTACTGTGAGTGTGGTGCAGGTTCTACCTGTCCCTTAGAATGGGACCAGTTTGATGGACAGTCAATATCTCAAGCTACATCTGATCAGTACAAAGTAAGAATTTTTTTTTGTATAATGATAAAATCTTGTAACACTGATTACCACTTCAAGTGGAATCAATGATGTTTGAGCCGCGTCTCAAATTTGAGACACCGCTCAAATTCTTTAAATTCGGCCTCAGGCTGTAAGATTGCAGTAAATACTTAAAACAAAATTTCAGACACTGACTTTGAATTTAAATGAAATTACCAATTTACAGTTCTGTGGGCAAGCCCCCAAGCTGGAGGAGTGCAGGAGTGAATCCCAGATTGCCTACACGTCCTACCAGAAGTATAAGGGGGATGCTAAGGTCTTGATCAGGTCAGACATAGATTAATTACAATAACAGATAGAATAGTAGATGTCGTCTTTTCAACATTTTGGGGGTTATTGATCACAATAACCCTGAGGCAGAAGGCCAATGGAGTTACGTGCATGCGAATTTGAATAACAAGACAGAAAGAGAGCATATGCGTAACTCCTTTGGGATTCTGCCTCGCGGTTATTGTTGTTGTTAATTAATCTATGAGGTCAAATATCTCAAATCTAAGAGAGTTAAGGTTTGGTCTGTTTTTAAACATTCAAAGGGAGTGTTCGCGAAAAATGACATTTGGTATAAGATCAAATTTGGATTCGATCGCTACTAATTTTACTTATAATTTAGCATCTTTCAGGAAGAAATGGTTGAAAATGCTTAATACTAAGAGCGAATACTCCCTTTTTAGGTGTTTATGCTTGCAGGAGACTCCTGAAAATTCTATTGAGTCTCACGCAATTAAAAATATTATTATCTATCTGTTTGCTTCAAACAAGTCATAAAAAAGGTTTACTTTGGCAAAATCAAAACCAATAAAATCTCAACGAAAGATTTGAAAAATCAGTAATTTGAGTTTACAATATGTTCGCAGTTAGGTCTGGGCGTCGTTCCTAGGGAAGGATCGTTCTTTAACGGGAACGGAACGAAACGGAATGAAACAATTTAAAAAAAAGTAGGAACGACGCCCAGCTCAAGGGAGTAGTTCCTGGGGAATGATACTGCTTGTTTAAATTGTTTTGAAAAAAGATATTATTTGATCTGATTTGGATTTAAAGTTTTTTCTCTCTCTTTGGTTTAAAAAGGCGTTATAAGGAAGCAATGTTGTGCCAGTATTCCTTTATATAAGCAACTGCTTTCTCAAGTTTAGATTGGGGTGCTTTAGGATTAGCAATATTTAGCTTCTTTAATCTTCTTTACTGCCCTGTCATCGCCCTAACCAACACCATTCTAAAAACAACATGAAACAAACGTCTGAAGAAAAAAGTTAAAAAGAATTCACACATGATTCACAAGATCAAAGAAAAATGAATATTTCTAATATAATTTTAATCTGTGGCTAGGCTATCAGGGCGCTTCACGACCATCTTCTATTTTCACTTTTATTTGTTGCTCAATCTTTTAGCATTTTCTTTTTGATAAAACAATAATAATTAACAATTTTTGTCGTGGGTTTTCTAAATTTAGGGAGACAATTTTTTGTAATTCTAAGGATCCATAAACCTACCCTGGAGTCATGTGAGGTCCCACAAAAAATGTTGGGCTCGATCGGTTTAGCCGTCTTGACGTCTATTGTTACAAACAAACACCCATACAGACAAGCCAAGTTTATATATATAAACTAGGCTTTTAGGGAACTTCGCGCCCATCTTCCATTTAAATCGTGAACATGTTCGATCTCTTTGTGTACATTTTAAAACAAAGAAGAAAAAAATTTCGGGGATTTCTAAAAAGAAATTCGCGGATTTTGACGTTTATTGGAAACAAACAAACAGACAGACAAGCCAAATTTATTATAGATGAAGTTAAAGGTTTTGCAATTTTCAATAGTTATGACTGACACATTCTTCAAAATTGTTTAGAGCATATCTTCAGAATTATAACAATTAAAAGTTAAAAGATATCTAGTTTCTAATTTAAAAACAAAATAAATTTGATATTTATTTTTAAGACGCAATTTACGTCCAAAGAAGGGTCCCCAGAACGTCCAAAATGGTTCTTTTTACGTTAAAAAAATGTCTCAGTGACATATAAGATTATGTTGCTTAGATATAACATGGGTCATTAATTCAGGACGTTGATTTGACCTCCTTTCGACGTCCCCCGTTGCCATATTATATATATATATATTATAAATTATATATATATATATATATATATATACATATATACATATAAGGATAAAATGTTTTCAGGGATGAGATTCACTGTGTTTGTCCCTTTGGAAGTTCCTACCAAGATGTCAAGTTCAACTTTAAGGAAATCTATCAATTTTTTTATAAATCGATAAAAAAGTAAAAGAAATTCAGTCTTTGCCACAAACTTTTATTTTCTAATCACCATGTCTTTGGAACCCAATCTTTGCAGACCTTGGGTATTTCAAACTATGAATTCTGGGATCAGATTTGAATCACTGATTCAAATCCTTCCGTAATCTTTAGATTTGTTTCAGTGAACCGGAATGTTGGTAGTTTACTGACGTAGCTCAAATACATAAATTTGATCTCTGTTTAAACAAATAATTTACGTTTGAAATATTACGTTTACACCTTTGCAACTATATAAGGATTAGACGTTTCAAGCTTGTAACAAAATCCAATACCTTTCAATAAATAAAACAGATATAATCTCAAGATACTTTAAACTTCATCTTACGTATTTTTATTTTTTTAAATATCTTAAATGTAGTTTCGGAAGCTTTTTATTCTTGGTTTTACCCTACCATGTCAATATTTTCGCGGATTTAAAACTTTATCCAAAATATTCTACAGAGAAAATATTAATCTAATTATGTTTTCATTATTTTTCTTAGAGCTGAGGACAAAAATAACTGATTATCTAAACGTACAGAGTGTCCCATATAATTTTGGATCGCTTATGGCTCTAAATAGCGATTTCCGGGACTAATCAGAATATTAAATTTTATTGCCTGAATTTCAATTACAATTACAGTAGTACCTAATAAACTAAAGAATGCAACGACGACTTTTAGACTAAAGATATGATCAATGAAAAGGAGACAAGGCATTAGTTCAATTCACTTAATAAGTTGATTTTCAAGATAATATTGTAAAACTACTTGATTTATATCAAAATAAAATACACCTTACAGATCTTTGATATTTGTTTGTTTTTCCACATCTTTATGGGAATTAGTAATTATCACTTTTTTATATAAACATATGATTTCTCAAGCCCTTGAAGAAATATTTTTATAATCTCAATTTCTCTTTTAAAAAAAGTACAATTTTGTTTTCTGATATTTTGTACATTTTATTATTCAAATTCATCCTTTTTACACACCCTTCCATTTTTTACACTTGTCGTCGTATATATCAATACAATGAAGACGCATTCAATTTCAATTTTTTTATTTCTACTAAGCTTCCAAACATTGTTTACATATAAATATGGTAACAAAGAAAAACAGTTAACAGCTTATCTTTATAGTTTACTTGTAAACTTTTAATTTAAAAAAACCTTGTTAGAAATCAAAACTTAAATAGGAAAATTCGTTTTCATAGTATTGATATAATCGCGCCGACCACCAGGTAACTAACGGACTTATTTCTAATGTTGCTAATTTTCCAATGTATTAATTGATAAACATGGTTAAATTAGGATGAGGGAATATTCGAGATTGTGGAAATAGATTACTACTGTTTGCCAGTAAGTTTAATAGCTATATCTACATATATAAGTTGTAGTCTCTGTTTGTCTGATCATAACTCGGGAACCCCTGGGCCAATTTGCCTCAAATTTTAATTTTAGTGAACTCTGGAGAGCCACGGGAATGTTCTTAGCTTAGTTTTGAGATTCTAAGTTAATTGGGTCGACTTGTATTGGGAAATATAGCTAAAATCGTAATTTACGACTAGGGGTGGGTATGTGTGGGACTAACTATTACTCCCCTGGGCCACGCTGGGTTCCCAAGCTAGTATAAATATATATATATATATATGTTTTATCTCAGTTAAAAAAAACAGGTTAAAAAGAATGTAATTAATAACTATCCTAAAACTCTCAGTTTTTCTTTAAAGCTGACGACAAGCTAAAGTTTATTGCGCGCAAGATTAAAATGTTTTATGTTTTATGAAGAACAACAATGTTTCGAATTTCATGTAACCGGATTTTGATTCTCTCATACGTGTCCTTAAAATCAAACCTAGAGGAGCTATGAGATCACAAATCCTACCAGTAATGTCGCATAAAAATCCTCCTGTCATTGTTTGCAGTGATATTTTATAAATGTTGTGTAAATTATATAAGGTACTTTCTCAAATATTTCAGTTAATTTATAGTTCAGATCAGGATTTTTTACATTTCTGATATTGCCACTTGTGAAAAATCCCCTTGCTTGGGATCCATTTTATTTTGATACGGATCGGCCTTGAAAAAAAGAGTTGTGTTTCAGAAATAAAGTAAATTATAGTAGATATACCATCTGACTTGTTATATTTGTATATTTAAAACCAAATGTATTATTCAGCTGGTGGAGTGTAATGTAACGGATACGTGTAAGGATATTACAGAGAAGCCAGGAGAGTATGTTGTGAACCCGAAGTGTATCTGCCCAGGAAGTATGGTTTGCTCTAGTACTACAGACAGATTCGCAACAACTGAAAGGTTAAATTCATTTTTATAACTAGTTAGTTTTTTAGTTTAGTTTTTATTTTAAACAAGAAATATATATTATAAAGAAATATTTTAGGATTCATATGATATCAGTGAGACATTTTTACAGTGTATACTCTCTAAGCAAAAGTATTTTTTGTAAAATTTCACTAGAGAGAATGGTTCGAAGAAGAAACGTTCTCTACGATTATGCTATTTAACAACCCGGACAAAAAATAGTTTTACAGGAAACTAATTTGTTGTGTACTGCAGTGTAGGAACATATTTCTCAATAGAAATTTGAGAAGAATTAAATGGTAGAATCAATTATTTATTTATTGTCATAATTATGAATTCTTTGACGGCAAAAATATGTTCGCAAATTTTTTTAGAGGTCATCTTTTTAATTAAAATTGTCGGAAATCTACGGGAAACGCGCGCTTGTAAACCATCAAATATAAAAAAACTGGGAATTGAAAAACATTACTTATTTTCATGGTAAAAGTTAATTTCATTTTTCTTATCCTAAAAAATTTGTTAACAGTAGAATTTTAGTTACATTTTTCGCCCTGGTTATTAGATAATTTTAAAAGAAAATTTTCCGCTCATGCACCATCCCTTCATGCACCATCCCTTCTGGTGAAATTTTAAAAACGATTTTACGCTCTTAACATTTTTCTCTAAGATACTCCACTCTTGGTTCTTATATATTACCTTGCCGGTCTCTCCCTTTAATGTGTATAAATTTTCGAAGCTTTAAAGGGAGTGACCGACATATATAAAGTTTTAAAGATCTATAATTACTGAGTTTGAGCGCATAGTCGACGTTCAAAATCATTAATTTGGGTTGTTACGTTTTGAAAACCGTTTTTTTAATTATTAAATAACGACGACAAAAAATATAGTAAAATTCCATAGTAAACTGATTAGCTGTTTAGGAACATATTTCTCAAAAGAAAGTCAATATATCAATGTTAGAATCAAATTTTTCGTTTTCATCATTGTATTAATTTTTTTATTTTCAATGAATTTGTTCGCAGGTTTCTACAAATTCCTCAAATGTCGTCTTTTCAATTCAAATTTCAGAAAATCTGCAGAAAATCTTTTGTGAATAATGAGAGATTATATAAACTAAAAATTGAATAAGATTACTTATTTTCGATGATAAGAGTTAATTTTTACATTCTCAACCTGTTCCTTAACAACTAATTAGTTTAAGTTTACTGTAGAATTTTTGTTACATTTTTGTCGTCGTTGTTTCATAATTTAAAAAAAAACGATTCTCAAAACGTACCCACCCAAATTGATGATCTTGAACCTCAACTTTTCGCTCAAGCTCAGTATTATAGATCTTAAAAACGTCTCATATGTCTCAAATATCCTAAAAAATTTCTCTACATCTACTGCAATCTCAGTTCAACTACATACCATACATTGCCGGTCACTCCCTTTAAGTCTAAAAAAATTCTTTTTTGTCTCTATAAATGTATAATTTAGAACAAAATCTTCGTAATATTGAAATAATTTAGATGGTTAGATATCACGAACAAAATATTAAAGATTTTAAAACAATAATTGTTTCTTAAAACAATTTCTTGTTAATTTAAAGTTTTGTTTAGAATGGGAAATATGATCCTACACAAGATTCAGTGCCAACCACCCAAAGGACGAGGTGGAACTTTTAAAAATATTTTAAATTTTTTTTCCCCAGTCGATCAAAACCAACCTATTTTCAGCAAACCTCTCATTGGACCATGTTCTTGTATTTGACGAATAAGAGGACGCGTAATTAAATCTGACAGTTCGTAAATAGTTTAGAATGTCTTCTTGCATAATTTTTAAGTCGTTTGATACCAAAGAAAATAAAAAATATTCTAAGGAAGTCATATTTTATAATAAAATTAATGCCATTGTAAAATATGTTTTAGGAAAAGATAAACAGCAAACAGTCTTTAATATTTCATACAATACATAGAAGAAGACATTCAAAACTAATTACGACCTGTCATATTTCGTGGGACACCCTGTATATAAAGAAACCAATGATTACTCGCCTATAACCTTAGTTATAAACTTATAATTAATATTGCGCTTGCAAATATATGCAGTAGAAGGGAAAGACTGAAATTGTAAAAATTTAAGATTTTTCAGGGAGAAACTTGACAGTATCTTCTTTTTTCTTGCTCAGATAAAGTTTAAAAGGGTACCGTTGTCAATCGGAACTACCAATTGAAATTGTACATTACTTTTCAGGAAAATATGAAGACCTGTACAGACTTCTCCAAAATCTACCTGAATCTTCTAACCTAGAAGCGGAGAAGAGGAAGGTCAAGCAGATAATCAGAATGCAGCAGGTAAAGTTATTTTTAAAAAAAAAACCAAAAATTTATGTGAAATAATTTTTGGTGAATTTTATTTGGAAAAAAATAGCTGACGAAACAAAACTATTTGAAGCAATTTAGGAACTGAGTCCTGAAAAATCCCGTCAGAAAAATCGTAGTTCCAAGGCACAAAAAACATCTAAGAGTAAGTAATTCATAATTATTATATAGTAAGTTAGTTTGGTTTGGTAGAGCAGAGTATCTAAAGTAGAAAGAAATGGGTTTGGTTTGGTAGAGCAAAGCAGCTAATCTATAAAGGGATGGTTTTGATTTGGTAGAGCAGAGTAGCTCAGCTAGAAAGGGATGGGTTTGGTTTGGTAGAGCAGAGTAGCTGAACTAGATAGGTATGGGTTTGGTTTGGTAAAGTAGAGTAGCTGAACTAGAAAGGGATGGGTTTGGTTTGGTAAAGCAGAGTAGCTGAACTAGAAAGGGATTGGTTTGGTTTGGTAGAGCAGAGTAGCTGAATTAGAAAGGGAGGGGTTTGATATGGTAGAGCATGGAGTAGCTGAACTAGAAAGGGATGGGTAAACTATGGTAGAGCATGGAGTAGCTGAACTAGAAAGGGATGGGTTAACTATGGTAGAGCGGAGTAGCTGAACTAGAAAGGGATGGGTTAGCTATGGTAGAGCGGAGTAGCTCAACTAGAAAGGGATGGGTTAGGTATGGTAGAGCGGAGTAGCTCAACTAGAAAGGGATGGGTTTGGTATAGTAGAGAACAACAAAGAATAAGTTAGCTTCGGTAATTCCTTCAACAGACTTTCGTTCCCTACATTCACAGCTGTACCTAGTAAACCCTTCATCTGATCAATAATGTCGTCGTTTCTCTAGCTTGTTTCTCTTTCGTTCTGACAAGATCTTCCACTTTTGTGTTGCAGAAAAACGCAAGTCATTTTGTAGTTAAAATTGGATATCTTTTTCCTTCTTGACCATGCTAAGCTGTTCAGGGCACCGTTCTAAATCGGACATACCACTCATTTGAAATAAAGTCTTAAGTCACTTAAATTGATGTATTTTTAGATCAAGAAAAGCCGGTGAGATGGGGTCCAGCTCTTGGAATGTTTGGAGGCTGGAAATAGATAAACATTCATGTACTGTACTGCAGCACTTCTGTATACGGCTGTACAAACTACTACTCTAAAACAATCCTCTATAAATATCAAATATATAAATGTTAAAATAGTTTCAAGTTTGTTTAATTCTTGCTCTAAGTATATCAATATATTGGTTGTAATTTTTTGTTTTATCAATTTATTTTGATGTTTTACATTTTTATGTTTATTGTACTTTTCTTAAGAGATAAACGCATAAAAGACAAGATTTCAGATTTGAATTTTATTCACTTTATTCCTATATTTATTTTCCTTGAAGGGCAGCTCTACTTGTTTTGAAACAAAATAATTTTGCATAAATATTATTATTTCATTAAAGGCAAACAGCAAAATTCAGCGTTTAAACAATTATATTCAACAGTTGAAAGTGGTCGTTAATGTATCATATTCTTTAGTAACCCTGCAGTATGAAATCCAAAGAAAGAATTTAGAAGTGGTCAGCTGCAGCTAGATGGTTTTAGATTAAATCTAGGACTAATGTTAGCGATTTTTTCTCTTCAGTATTTTGAAAATTCCAACGGCACTTTAGCTCTAGTAATACTATAAACCTGATGAAGGAATGAAAGTAAAGATGCTAAGATTGATAACGAAACATATTTGCACACAAAACTGAATTTTCATTTTAACGATACAAACCGTTGATGTTGGATCAAAACAGAACATTTGATCTAAATAACACAATATTTTCGATACTTTTGATGATAAATAACTTCGTCTTGGGCACAAGATGGTCGATCATACGCCGTTCTCTGTCGGCCATGAAGATACTCTTTGGGTTATATTGTCAGGCTGACAACCATTTTCTGACTTGGGAGCAATAAACTGTACTTTATTATTTACAATTGTAAATCCTCACTGGTTCACAATACAACTATGTATATACTTTGCTTGTCTGTTTGCTTGTATCCAATAAACATCTAAACGGATGAACCGATCGGGCCCAAATTTTGTGTGGGACCTCACATGACCCTAGGGAAGGTTTATGGATTATCAAAATTAAAAAAACTTAGCCTCCAACAAAACTAAATTTTGATAAAATTTCATAAGTTTGTGATTTTTTTCTTAAATCCACGAACTTTTTTGTTAAAGGTTTACAATTTTTACAAGAGAAAGTGTTGACACGATAGAAGATGGGAGCCTAGTATATACAAATAAGTTAAGTAGTAATGCAATTATAGCAATCTTGCGATAGAACTGTATGCTTGTAGCGGAAATCAAATATGTAAAGGGATATAACGATCGTTCTGGATTAACCAGAGTAAGAGACATTTGGTTTTTTTTCTACTTAAAATCAAACGTGATTTGGGCTATATTCAACATACTTTATACTTAGGAAATTATGTTTTTTTTAATTTTTCATTAAACACGTTTGCGTCGACAAAAAAGTACCAAAAAAAAGCTGAAAATTTATGTCTAATAGGTCAAATTGAAATCAAGTCACCGCTTTCTAGAATATTGACAGAACCGTTAAATCCACATGAGGGGGCTAAATGGACCCCGAAAACCATAGCTTTTTATTTTTAATTTTCTAATATGCATTTTTACAATGTTGCCCAGACACGCAAAATTAAATAGAAACTATCCTGCATGTTAACCATCCTGAGTGGGGGGGGGGAGTATGCAGCTAACTGAACGCAGTAAAACAGGACAGCCAGAAAACAAGAAGATTGGAAAACAGGACAGCCAGAAAACAAGAAGATTGGAAAACAGGACAGCCAGAAAACAAGAAGATTGGAAAACAGGACAGCCAGAAAACAAGAAGATTGGAAAACAGGAGAGCCAGAAAACAAGAAGATTGGAAAACAGGACAGCCAGAAAACAAGGAGATTGGAAAATGATTATCTGGATTCTGCATTAAATACACGTATCAATAAGTTTGTTTTATAAAACATCTGCGGGAAAAAATGATGGAATCTCTTAAGAAATTAATAAGGAGGATTAATTAACAACATTTATTGTTTACATTTATGAAAAAAATATTTTAACACTAAAAAAAATACTTATAAGAAAAAATAACTATATAACTAATGGTACAAGGGTATCACATTTATATGATGCTTACAAATCACAATTTTTTTATCAACAAAGGTTTGCAGGGGTGGGGAAGGGGGGGATACAATATTTTATGTATTGCAACACAACATTTTTTAATGAGCGTAACAAACCACTTTAACATCATATTAATCTGTTCGGGGTTAAGCCTTAAGAATCCCATTTTATTTTTTGCCAACATTTTTTGTTGTGGCATTTGTCTGAAAGTGTTTTCAAAGCCTAGAACTTTAGTGCTGTGAATCTCGAGATCAACCATTGATATCAATCTTATAAAGACTTATAAATTAATTTGACTTTACTTCGATATGCTGCAGATGTCATACCCTGTGGAGACAACAAGAATATAAAGGGATAAAGAAATCATCCTTAAATTTAGAAGTGCTCACACTTTAACTTCAAACAAAGAACATACATATATTTTTATTGAGTGGTTTATAAAAAACATTTCTGCATGTATCCTTAAAGATCTAACTGCTTCTTCATTCATGCCAGTCTCTATACCGTATTTTACTCTATGTATTGCAAGCTCTATGGTTGAATCACAAGGCGGTCAACTTAATTTAACTAAATATGTAGTTTAAGAGAGATTTATAGGATAAAGAAGAAACCAAGCAACCTTTTGGTGGCGAAAGATTTTAATTAAAAGCTATTTTTTGCGATAATTTTTTATGTTGGAATATTATGCTATTTGATGATATCCAAAAATTTGCCTGACTCCAAATTTATGAACTGATATTCGAAATACGGTTTAATATCGATACTCTTTCATAAGTTTGGCCCTCAGGCCTAGATGAGCTGCAACTTTCTTACATTAACAATTATCACAACAAAATATTTAAGTTTAATTATGGATTTAAATCTAACAAGTATGACCTGTGGCTTTGAACGTAATTCTGCATCTACGTAATATCCGAAAAAATCTAGAGTTTAAAAAAGACTTGAGATAATAATTAACATCTATTGTTACCACTGATTTTGCTTATAACAAATAACCTCTGAGCCGTGTCAAATAGTATTCTTTTGAATAACACTGAACTGAATTTTCAAACAAAGGAATTGAATCTTTGTCACAAACTATTATTTTCTAATCACTATATCTTTGTAATCCAATGCCTTAGACCTTAGATATTTCTAACTATGAATTCTGTTAGATGGAAAAATCTAAGTTAGAAATATCAAAGGTTTACACCATCAGGTTGAAAAAATATAGGTATTAGAAAATCAGAGTTTGTTACAAAGACTCAATTCCTTTAAACCCGAGAAACTATTTGAGCCACTAGTGTCGGGAACTAAACTGGTCCCTAGTGTCAGGGACTGTACTAGTCCCTAGTTTTAGGGACTGAACTGGTCCCTAGTTTTAGGGACATAACTGGGCCTTAGTGTCAGGGACATAACTGATCCATAATGTCAGAGAGTGCACTGGTCCCTAGTGTCAAGGACTGTACTGGTTCCTAGTGCCAGGGACTGTACTGGTACCAGTACAGTCCCTGGTCCCTAGTGCAGAGACTGTGCTGGTCTCTAGTGTCAAGGACTGTACTGGTCCCTAGTGTCAGGGACTGTAATGGTCCCTAGTGACAGGGACTGTACTGGTCAAGGACTGTACTGGTCCCTAGTGTCAAGGACTGTACTGGTCCCTAGTGTCAAGGACTGTACTGGTCCCTAAAGTCAAGGACAGTACTGGTTTCTAGTGCCAGGGACTGTACTGGTCCCTAGTGTCAGGGACTGTACTGGTCCCTACTTTGCCGCTAGTGTCGGGGACTGTGCTGGACTATGAACTAGAAGCGGACTATGTATCATCTGATGCTGAACTGGGCTGTGGATAGGAACAAAAACTGGACTATGGACTAGAGTAGGACTTTGACATCTTGGACTATTTTGATAAGGACTATCTCTTTGAATAGAAGTTGGACTAACTAATAATGCTGAACTCACTGGGCTCGACCCTCTAAATAAACATAAATAAAAATAAAAATATTTGAAAAAAAAGCAATTTTGATCTGTCTAAGGAATCGTTGGCATTAATAATCCATTGAGATTTCTTGAAAAAATTAAGTTAATACCTTGCATCGTCAGCTGCAAGCTTTACTGCGGTTTTATAAGCTCCTTTCCTTCGCTTGTGGAATATATTCTATAATAATAATGAAAAATGATGATGATGAAGAATGATGATGATGAAGAATGATGATGATGAAGAATGATGATGATGAAGAATGATGATGATATGTTTAATTTTAACTCGTCGATTTCGGCGAGTTAAATATTTAACCACAGGTTTAAATATTTAACCTCACGGTTAAAGTTCGGGTTTAAATTAAGTCAGAAGTGGCATTTAACCATGAACTTAAAATTTAAGTCAAAACTTTTCGTTCTTTAGTTTTAGACTCTGTTCTGATATTTCAATTAAATTGAAAAGAAAAATGCGGGAAATTTATTATGGAAAATGGAGGAACCTTGAGATCATCTGTACTCTACTTATTTAAAAAATTAATTTGCAAACAAAATTTAAAATAATTTAGAAGACAAAAATATTTTCAGTGGTTCGATCTATTCTATAAATTATGAAAGTGTGTTTTGTTCTGAATTGTTGAATATTTTCAAATATGGATTGTTTCAAAAGTTGGTTTTTGTTCCAACTTTCTTCCCCTGTATTTCTCATAAATATTCATTTTTATGATAAAATCTGCTTGAATTATTAATAATAAAATTATTATTTATTAAAATTATGATTAAAATAATCAACACTGTTACCTCGTATTTATCAAGAAATGGTGCTAGGTTGGCCGAGGGTAGCACTGACGTGGTCACAGATGTGTACCAAGATACCTTGAGTCAACATTTTATTTTAAACAGGGTGAAATTTAGGGTTTCCAATTGGATTTCGTTGCGCGGCATTGCGCACAGCTGTTCTCATATTGCTCGGGAATTACTGGGCCCGCAATTGCGCGCATGTAAAATCTACTTGCGTTGTAAACCCTTGTTAAATTATTAGCTGATAAACAATAATAAAATGAATTGAAAAAAATGATTAAGAAAATCTGTTGGAATTCTGAAAATTGAACGGAAGAAATAAAATAAATCGATGAATATTGTTATAATTTTTAAATAACAAGCCGTCATTTAGTTGTTACGTATCAAAAAGCCGTCATTTAGTTGTTACGTATCAAAAAATTAAAGGATAAATTAACGGAAGAGAAGAAATGAAAGAAAGTCTGAATGAATTGCATGTAAAAAGGAATTTGTAAAGTGATAACCAGATAACTCTGGAATATGATGTCGACCTTCAGACTCAATTTATGAGTTTCAATGAACATAAGGCACGACAATTGTGCATTGTAAACAGACTCATTTCAGTGGTTTAATAACCTACTAGTATTGCTTTAATCGTCTTCCAATTCTACAGTTTTCTGGTTATTACTGCATGAGCAAAGAAATAGAATAAAATGTAAGGAAAGGAAGTCTCACTCTGAAGGAAATAAACTAAAATGAAAAGGTTAATATATGAGAAAAGAGTAAATGATTTTAATGAAATGAAAAAAAGAATGATGTAAATTTAAGAAAGAATAAATGAAACAAATGAAAAAATAAATGACATGAAAGAAAGAATGAATAAAAAGAAAGAAATAATGAATGGTAAGAAAGAATGAATGAAATGAAAGAAAGAAAGAATGAATGAAAAGGATGTATGAATTGATAAATGAGTGAAAGGTTGAATAGATAAATAGATAAATAAATAGATGAATAGATAAATAGATAAATGAATGAATGAATGTAAGAATGTACCTGTGCATGTTGTATTTTAAGTTCTGGATTAACTCTATCCTCCAGTAGAAGAAGATGTATTATCTGAAGGAAAACAATCTTCAGATTTAACAACAATATTTGAAAGGGGGGGGGGGGGGTTGATACAATACATTTGTAAATAATCCAAAGCTGAAAATTATGGAATTGGATATCCCTTAATACTGATCACATATCCACTGTTGTCCCTTATGTTTTCTGCTTAATCCGTGCTCTTTCCAGCTTTTTGGATATTCCGACCAATGAGATTTACCTCCTTCAGTGGCGCGCAAAAATTTAAAATTTCCCGGCTTCTGATACGCCACTCTGATTGGTTGAATTTTATAAACTTTTCTGGACACAAACAAATATTAAATTAGCTTTGAGGTTAATAAAAAAGAAGAGATAAAGCATTGATCTTAATATCCACAATTCTAAAGTTTTCAGCTCAGAAGAATCGATTCCTATAGTTCAATTCCTTGAATATACTAAACAACTTCATAAGATTATTAAGAAATGATTCAAAAAGTATTCAGCGATTTGGGTTAAACTGTTTTCCTCATCTTTCTGGCATCTGAGAAAAATAAACAAATAAATGATAAAATGATAGTTAAGATTGAAGACTGTAAATGATAAAATGATAGTTAAGATTGAAGACAGTAAATGATAAGATGATAGTTAAGATTGAAGACTTTTCCTTTGCCGGCCAGTATGGTTTCCTGCCCTGCCTGGCCCAAACTACATCTCCTCGCCGCAGGGTCAATCCGTCAGCCAACTCCTGGCTTTCCATCGAGATTCCTAAATATGTATATTGTATATATTGGAATTAATTTCAAGAACACTGAACAGGTGTCGCCCTTTCCTACCCCCGCCACGTGAAGATGTACATTGTACACCCACTTTTGCAGGTTAGGTTATTATGTTATAATTATTAATTATATTAATTAGGATACTTGCTGAAAAATGATCAGTATATTTTTGTTATAATATTTGGAATAAAGAGGGCAAAACTACTTGGAGGATTTAAAGTTTAGAAAACACACGAATAATTTTGTTAAACTTAAAGGAACTGTAAACGTAATTTTAAGACTTTATTTAGTAGCATGTCCGAATAAAATGTCCGAATAAAATGTCCGAATAAAATGTCCGAATAAAATGTCCGAATAAAAGCTTTGACTTTAAAATCAAAGAAATTTTCATGATATACAGAAAAGAAAGTTCTGAAAAACAAATTATTTCATAGATGAATTTTCAAGGTTTGATTGAATGGAAACATGAACAGAAATTTATTTTTAGAACTCCTGGCTAACAAATTAATTATCAAGGTTTTCTTTTCAAACTAAAATAATCAAAGATGTTTTTATGAGGTTTCGCAATCTTAATATTTTTCCAAGGGTATATAATTATAAATTTTCAAGAAGAATAAATATTTCCGACGCTCGGGGGAAAATAATTAAAAACAGACCCAACATCATATCTGATGGAAAATAATTAAAAACAGACCCAACATCATATCTGATGGAAAATAATTAAAAACAGACCCAACATCATATCTGGGGGAAATAATTAAAAACAGACCCAACATCATATCTGGGGGAAAATAATTAAAAACAGACCCAACATCATATCTGGGGAAAAATAATTAAAAACAGACCCAACATCATATCTGGGGGAAAATAATTAAAAACAGGCCCAACATTATATCTGGGGGAAAATAATTAAAAACAGACCCAACATCATATCTGGGAAAAAAAATTAAAAACAGACCCAACATCATATCTGGGGGAAAATAATTAAAAACAGGCCCAACATTATATCTGGGGGAAATTATTATTGATTATCTATCTCTGTACTTTTTCTGACCTGGTTTCTCAAGAATAGGTTCAGCGATCTCGTCAAAATATATTTCATCTAAAAGTCATATTTTTAAAATAATTATTTTCTTAAAAAAAGGACCACGAAAAACATGGAATTAACGTAAAAACGTTAATAAGTTGGACATCTAGCGTGATTAGTGGAAACTAGTATAAAGTACATAATTTTATGTTTTATAAAATAATTTTCGAGAAATCCTTTTCCCCTTTTTTGTAATGTTTTATCACTAAAAAAATAAATTAACCATTTAGAAACAAAATACAAAAAGAACAAAAATCTTGCAATAAAAAGTCAAATTAAGAAAATATTTTATGTTTATTTTACCCTCCGAGGATTCTTGTCTAGCAGTCCCAACTCCAGATTCAGGATCTAATAATTAATAATTAAAGAATTAATTGATTAATTATTAAAACTTATACGAAAAATAATAACAATAATTAATTATTTGTAAATACGATCAAATATAAAACGGTTTGGATAAAAACTATATTTATACAGCGGATGATTATATTTCAGGAAAAAGAAAGGTCCAAACCGGGCCGTGATTTGGCCCATTTGGACCAAATGTGCAAAATCTTTTTTTTTAATCGTTTATATTAGAAGTAAAAATCCGTCTGCATACTTTGATTCAGAATAGTTAAAGCTACATTTGTATAAAAAAGTTAAAGTATGCAACCCCTACAAATGAATTATTTCAAATTTTGATAATAATTGATTTCATTTTAGAACATGACACACTTTTGAAACAAATGCAAGGTTTGGGCGCAAAACACGTTATGGAACATGTGGTGATTTTGAGACATTTAACAGAATTGAATCAATGATATTTTCAAGCATTTACACAATTTGGTAACAAAACAAGTATTTCGCATATAGTAGAATTTGAATAATGAAACAATAAAAAAGGAAAATAATTCATTCAGAGTCTAAAACTAAAGAATGCGCGAATTTTAAGTTCGAGGTTAAAAGTTCTGTAATATAATGAGTATCTACTTAAATATTTAACTTTCTCAATTTTAAATTTGAATTTCCCGGGAAAAATTTCACCCAATCAGAGAAAAGGATTTATATGGAGAATATTACGTAATCATCGCTAATCAGCTGTTTTAGTTAACTTTTTAATATTTATGTAACCGAAAACAAAAAATATTTCCAGTTACAACCGTCTTTTGGGTTTACGTGCAAACATTAATTAATTTAAAACGTGAAATTTATTAAATCAAGGGTTTTACTTTAAAATATATCGTAATTAGTTGAATGCGCGCCGCTTATCGCTGAATGATGATAGACAAATAGTGATTGCAGGATTTCAAGATTTTAACCATGTGTTTAATTTTAACTCGTCGATTTCGGCGAGTTAAATATTTAACCACAGGTTTAAATATTTATAATTATAATAAAAATAACAATAACAATAAAATTGACCTTTGATGGTTAAATCTGATGAATTGATTGATTGTGAAACAGAGAATTCCAAAACTTCATTTTTAATCTTCTCCTCTTTATTCTCCTTCTTCTCCTCATTCAGATCTTTTTCCTTCTTTTTGTGTTTCTTCTTCTTATTTTTCCTGAATAAAAACCAGTAAGATAAATATTAAAGGTGATGTTCAATGTTTATGGTTAACAACTACTCTCAACCAATGAGAGATATCGGAGTCAGCTGTGTAGGCGTAGAATATTAGAGATATTCCATTCAAAATTTCCTACCTCTGTTGGTCTGTACAGTGTTCACACCACTCAAATTCATAAATAATATTGATAAACTTTCCCCCATTAGCTTGGAACTTTTTTTAGATACCCATTATATCCCGATTGCATGATCTCGATATCCACTGTGGGCACTATAACTGTCCATAACTTCATTTTAGCTATTCCTTGCCTCATCAAAGCTTCATGACTGGGTCAGGTTACCATGCGGTATATCGAATAAAGATTAAATTATCTACAGATTAACAAAAGATCCAGCATTGATCACGATATCCATAATTCAGGAGTTCCCAGCTTTGTACACATAGTACGGGCCGGGTCAAGTCTCCCCCTAGCGGTTAGCTAAGATCTACAGGGTGTCCCAATAAACATTCGTCTTTGATTTCTACTATTTAATGCATGTCAAAGAAAGTATAAAAATGAGTCTGTACTGTATTAAAACAATTTTCATTTATTAAATAAATTGAAATGTGTGCAAATTTTCAAATATAATCTCCGTCAATTTTGAATATACAAAAATGATAGATCTCATTTTTAAAATCTCAAGACCAGGCTTTTTTGATATTAGTGTAAACTGGAATTCTGCAAATAATTGAGTTCATAAAAAAATGCCGCATGGACCGAAGACGATATAAAAGTGATAACTTAATTCTCATGTTTACTGCATATTAACCCCCTGCCCCCATCTGCCAACCTACCTAATAATTATTTTCTGTGAGCTAGGGCAGACCAGGGTGTAGGCAGGACTATCAGGGGTCACCGGGCAACTAAACCTGATAAACAGATAATAAATTATTACAATTAAAAATGAAATAAATAATAATAATAATAAGAATATTAATAATAAAATAGCAAGGAACTGTAGAAATAATTTCCGATTGTCCGATTCAAAACGTTACCATCTAGCCGGATCTATCTGGATAACAATGAATAAGATATTGTCTAAATTAGTCTTGAATTTTTTAATTTCTAAAGCCTAAGTGTGCAATTCAATTTTATAAAGAGACTAAATAGATTATCAAGTACAATAGGTGGCAACAGAGAAATTAACCAATTATACACGACGTCACAATTGTTAAATATAACAAGGAAAACGAAATCTTCTCACATTGGTTGACATGTTTTTAAAGATTAAATAAAAAATGTAAAAACAGAAACTAAAGAACACATAAAATAGCACTTATTTTACTGTATGATAAGCACATTATTCTAAAATGATCACTATTGTTGATCATTTTGTCGAACACAAAAACTAAGTTGACTCTTGTGACGTAAGAATACAGCTGTACTGAGAGTGGACAAATTCTACATTGCCATGTATTGTACTAAAATCTATTTAAGATCGACCACTATTGAAAATAATCAGTTGTATTGCCAGAAAAATAAGGATATTTTATTCACCCTTGAATAGAGAAAGGTTTAAAGAGTGTCGATGTGAATCAGTCATGCCAATCTCTACAGAAAAGGGAATTGAAAATTACGCTACACATTTCTGAAAAGAATTATTTTTTCAAATGTCAAGATGGTTCCGTTAAAACCAAATACACCTGTTCAGATAAATTGATTGGATTTCCTACACCTGTTCAGATAAATTGATTGGATTTCCTACATCTGTTCAGATAAATTTACCTGTTCGGGTAAATTGATTTGATTTAATTTACCTGTTCAGATAAATTGATTGGATTTAATTTACCTGTTTGAATAAATTGATTTGATTTAATTTACCTGTTCGGATAAATTGATTGAATTTCCTTCCCCTGTTCGGATAAATTGATTGAATTTCCTTCCCCTGTTCGGATAAATTGATTGAATTTCCTTCCCCTGTTCGGATTAATTGATTGAATTTCCTTCCCCTGTTCGGATTAATTGATTGAATTTCCTTCCCCTGTACGGATAAATTGATTGGATTTCCTTCACCTGTTCAGATAAATTGATTGAATTTCCTTCCCCTGTTCGGATAAATTGATTGAATTTCCTTCACCTGTTCGGATAAATTGATTGGATTTTATTCACCTGTTCGGATAAATTGATTGGATTTCCTTCACCTGTTCGGATAAATTGATTGGATTTCATTCACCTGTTCGGATAAATTGATTGGATTTCATTCACCTGTTCGGATAAATTGATTGGATTTCCTACACCTGTTCAGATAAATTGATTGGATTTCCTTCACCTGTTCGGATAAATTGATTGGATTTCCTTCCCCTGTTCGGATAAATTGATTGGATTTCATTCACCTGTTCGGATAAATTGATTGGATTTCATTCACCTGTTCGGATAAATTGATTGGATTTCCTTCACCTGTTCGGATAAATTGATTGGATTTCCTTCACCTGTTCGGATAAATTGATTGGATTTCCTTCCCCTGTTCTGATAAATTGATTGGATTTCCTTCACCTGTTCGGATAAATTTATTGGATTTCCTTTACCTGTTCGGATACACAGGTGATAGAAGTGATGAGGGTTGACCGGCCGGTACAGCTGGAAAACTCTGAACAGGCGAGGGGAAAGGACTGAATCTGAAAAGAAAAAATCTTTTGATTTATTTTTCTCCAGTTCAGCGAAAAAATGTTTTTTTTTCTGAATTAATGGAGACATTTTTGGAAAAGTGGGAAATGATATTTTATCAAGAAAATATAAACCAGGGAACTATTTTAGCCCCCTCCACCAAACCAAAGCTCAAAAATTGTTATCACCTTCCTGTATCATGAAGAAGGGTTTATTTGTACCTGGCTGGTGCTGCATGTACTCCTCTATTTGTACCTGACTGGTGATGCATTTACTCCTTTATTTGTACCCTGCTGATAATGCCTGTACTCCTCTATTTCTACCTGGCTGGTGATGCATGTACTCCTCTATGTGTACCTGGCTGGTGATGCATGTACTCCTCTCTATTTCTACCTGGCTTGTGATATATGTACTCCTCTATTTGTACCTTGCTTATGATGCATGTACTCCTCTATGTGTACCAAGCTGGTGATGCATGTACTCCTCTATTTGTACCTGACTGGTGATGCATTTACTCCTTTATTTGTACCCTGCTGATGATGCCTGTACTCCACTATTTCTACCTGGCTGGTGATGCATGTACTCCTCTATGTGTACCAGGCTGGTGATGCATGTACTCCTTTCTATTTCTACCTGGCTGGTTATGCATGTACTCCTCTATTTGCACCTTGCTGGTGATGCATGTACTCCTCTATTAGTACCTGGCTGGTTATGCATATACTCCTCTATTTGTACCTGGCTGGTGATGTATGTACTCTTCTATTTGTACCTGGCTGGTGATGCATGTACTCCTCTATTAGTACCTGGCTGGTGATGCATGTACTCCTCTATTTGTACCTGGCTGGTGATGCATGTACTCCTCTGTTTGTACCTGGCTGGTGATGCATGTACTCCTCTGTTTGTACCTGGCTGGTGATGCATGTACTCCTCCATTAGTACCTTGCTGGTGATGCATGTACTCCTCTATTTGTACCTGGCTGGTGATGCATGTACACCTTTGTTTGTACCTGGCTGGTGATACATGTACTCCTCTATTTCTACCTGGCTGGTGATGCATTTACTCCTCTATGTGCAGGACTCTGTCCCGGGGAAAAGTTCCTATGCTGCGATGGCGACCGACTAAGCAAGGATGATGGTGACCGACCGGAAAGATATGATGGTGACCGACAAGCTAGATATGATGGTGACCGACTGGAGAGGTATGAAGGGGATCTGGAAGTAAGATGACAAGGGGATCTGCTGGGCAGGTAGGAAGGTGACCAGCTGTGAAGGTAGCGAGGTGACATCATCACCTTTCTCTGAGCTTCCTTCTTTGCTTTCTTCAGTGCACGCTTCGCAGCCTTGGCCTCAGCTGTACAGTTTCGTCCTTTACAATAAATATTTAGCCCCTTGAAACTTAAAAAGTTGGGAATAGGGGGAATACGGGCGATAGGCAGTTCAGAGACCTCTTCAATTCATTAAATTCGGACCCTGGTTCATTTGGTATGATTTCAATACCAATTGGATTTTATTTTTGTTTCTCACACGTGGCCCATGCAGGGTGAGTATGGTCGGTGTAGAATAAAGAACACAGAAGTCAATGTTAAAGGGACTGTAATCGTAATTTCAAGTGACCTTCCATGCAAAGATGGCAATGCCAGATTTACAACGGTACCCTTAAAACCTATGTCTGATAAAGTATGAATTAGATATCCATGTTCTTGTTTCTTTAAACTGTTTATTCTCATTTGCGGTTTCTCTGCAAAAGTGACTTGCGCATTTCTTGCTGATAGGAAGCAGTGCATAAATTATCAGAAATAAAAACTTTTCGAGCCAGAGAAACGATTCTTTCTTTCACGTTTTTGATCAGATTTAGGATACAAGGGTCCCGTTGTAAATCGGGCATTGCAATCTTTGAATTACGCTTACAGGCCCAAGAAGATATTTACCTCTAAACTGAGATGGAATAATGAGTTTAACCCTATCAGGTTTATCTGTCCTAGTACTTGAACTAGAAGAAGAATCAGATGTCTGTGAACTTGTACTTGGCAAGGGTTGAGGTGGCGGGAACATAACAACTGTACTCTGCTTTCCTAGTGATATCTTCAGTACAGGGGCCTTCTCTAGAGGATCACACACCTATATTTAAGGGGACTGTTAACTTCTTTAAAGATGTGACAAGATACCAAAATATTTAGAATTAGGGAAACAACTAAAACAACTACCTTTAAATCTGCGTCTTTTTTTGGAATCTTCTTAGAGGGTGTAGAGTCTTCGAAAATATTTTCATCCCACAGATCTTCCATTGATCCCACACCCTTTCTCTTCCTTAATATATATTCTATATATTCTACACCCTTTCTCTTCCTTAATATATTTTATATTTTATATATCCTACACCCTTTCTCTTCATTAATATATATTCTATATATCCTACACCCTTCCTCTGAACCTATATATATATATTATATATCCTACACCCTTCCTATGAACCTAAATATATATTCTATATATTCTACACCCTTCCTCTGAACCTAAATACATATTCTATATCCTACACCCTTCCTCTGAACCTAAATATATATTCTATATATCCTACACCCTTCTTCTGAACCTAAATATATATTCTATATATCATACACCCTTCCTCTGAACCTAAATATATATTCTATATCCTACACCCTTCCTCTGAACCTAAATATATATTCTATATATCCTACACCCTTCCTCTGAACCTAAATATATATTCTATATATCCTACACCCTTCCTCTGAACCTTATGTATATTCTATATATCCTACACCCTTCGTCTGAACCTAAATATACATTCTATATATCATACACCCTTCCTCTTCCTAAATATATATTCTATATATACTATACACCCTTTATCATACTAAATATATAATATTTATATCCTACACCCTTCCTCTTCCTAAGTATATATTCTATATATCCTACACCCTTCCTCTGAAACTAAATATATATTCTATATATCATAAACCCTTCCTCTTCCTAAATATGTATTCTATATATACTATACACCCTTTCTCATATTAAATATATAATATTTATATCCTACACCCTTCCTCTTACTAAATATATATTCTATATATCCTACACCCTTCCTCTTCCTAACTTAACACATTTCATAATGTCACAATTGAGAACTCAAGCCATAACTTACAAACCTTTGTTTGAGCTGTCCTTTCTCCTCTTTCTCCTCCCGTTCTTCTCTCTCTTCTATTTCTGTTTCTAAATTCTCTTTTTGGTCCGAATCTTCACTGTCATCTTTAAAAGCAATAAAATAACAATAAAACTGATACTAGTAACGGCGACGACGACGACGACGACAACGACAACGACAACGACAACGACAACGACAACGACGACAACGACAACGACAACGACAA